TACTGCATATAGAATCCTTCAGTATAATAGTTAACTGTATAATAATTAACTGTGCATATCTCATCACACAAATGCAAGTCAAGTGTTAATTATTCTGGGCTATCATAGCAGATATCAGAACAAAATGTAGTCATGAGTCTTCAACTGCTGAGGACACCAGAAAAGACTTTTAGAAGATCCCAAAGTTTTTCTTTGTGTTACTTAAAATAAATAGCTTCATAGCTGTTGGCTGAAAACATTATTTTGGAACAATTATTTCTACTATATTGCTATTTTCAATATCAGTATCCAATTTCCTGAGTTCTTTGCTTACACAAGTGGTGTTAGCAGCACTGGAGTCTGTCAGAATAATGGGATTTTTAAATAGTGTCTTCAAGGCTTTATGGTGTCTGACCATTAATGTTCCTGGAAGAGAATGATCCTGGAAAAGAAACCTGAAAGACTTCAGCTATGATTTCTCAGACATTTAAGATACTAAGAGTTTCAAATATGTTTGCAGCTGGAGACAGCCTCCTCTGCCAGATTTTTTCTCATTGCAAATATGTCTCTCTTCCAGAAAGCCACTCCTGAAAAGAAAGTTCTTACTTCTATGTCTCACAGTCTCTGAATATGTCTCTATGTTATGTCACTTTATAAATTAGTATTTAATCTAGCCTTCAGTATTATCTGACCAATATACTGTATCCCTGTATTATAACAGTTGGCTACTCCTGAGGCAAAGATACTGTATTGCCCAAATCCGCTTAAAATTAGGTGATAATGAAAAAATAAAATTCAGAATAATAAGCAGTATCTTCTTTTGCGAATTTACATATTTTATTTTAAAAAGGGAAATATACACTGTTTGAGAGCTGATGGCTTAAGAGTCACTAAAAGAAAATAAAATATACAAATTTTGTAATAGAATTTCTTTTCTGCTTTTTACTGTCTTTTGCATTATCTTTGTTTTGTTTATTCTTTGTTTCATTTATTCATTATTCTTAGGTCTTTAGGTGCTCTTTGTGAACTCAGTGCATGATTAGAACATCATAAGAATATCACCCATGTAATTTAAGCTTATCTCCACAGAGATAAGTCCGAGGCAAGATTTCAATCTCTAAGAAGTTTTATTATTTAAATGGTTCTCTACTAACTTTTATTTCTGCTTCAGTAAATCATCTGAGTAAATTTTAGCCCTGTTCATTTTGCTACCCTCAATACAGATTTCATTTTTCATATTCATCTTCAAATAGCTTTGATTTTTATACTGTTTATCAGAATCCAAAGACAGTCAACAAGTTTGTTGAAGGAAAAAGAACCTGTTTCAGGGCAAGAACTCTAATCAGGTGTTCTTACATAACCTTCTTTGCATTTGTGTGGAAGAGCTATAGCAGAGGACACTGCTATTAAAACCATATTTTTCTGTTAAAAAAATACCAAAACACAACAGCCAAATGCTCAAAGAGTGTTGATAAATTCTTATTTGGGGGCTACATTTATGACCTACTTTTGCAGGTCATAAAAATTGACATATTCTATACTTCAGTCATCATTATTATATAAAACTATTAATCACTAGGACATGTAGCTTTGAATGTCCATTGTGTTTTAGATTTCTCAGCTGTGCTTCAGTACACTCTTTGGAAGTATGTGTCTTAAAAGTATGAGACAATTAAATAGTTTCATGCCTCATATGTGTTCTTGCTTTCAATAGTATATTGTTTCTTAAAAGGGGATGAATGATCTTACTTAGATATTCCAGGTAGCTTAACACCTGAGACTCAAAGTCCATGAAACTATGCATTCTGAGGACAGAAAATCTCCTTTCCCTCACTTACAAGTAAATATGGGGAGCCAAGAATAAGAACAATGGGAGGAAGACGAGGTTAGAATAAAAGTTTGCTTCATTTCAGAAGAGTGAAGAAATAGTGAATAAATTAGGCTGTTAAAATTAATTTTGTTGCAGGTTGACAAGTCTTCAGCACAGGTAATTAATTCAGTGAGTTTTAATAAACTAGAATTAGAATCAAATGAGAAACATCTCCTCCTAAAGCAGTGGGGAAGATGTGTACCACTATCTCTTGGTGCAGGCAGGCTGACACACTGCAGCTTTCTGTGAGTGATGGGCCACACGGTTTGAGTGATGCTGCTGCATGTGCAGGAAGGTGAGGGGACGTGGTGGCCCCTGGCCAAGGAAAAAGAGAGGAAGGAGTGGTTGGCAGTAGTCCATAACCTGATGAGAAAGAAAAAATGCTAATATATACTTTCTAAACTTAGACATATTCAATTGTCTTATTTAATAACAACCTTTGGTGAAAAAGAATTTTTGTTTCTGTTTGGAAATTGACTTCCCAGATGCAGTGCTTTTCCAGACAGAACAGCATTTTTTCCTTATTTATTTATCAAAGGGGAAGAATAAGGAAGTACATAAAAGCCAGATTTCCAGTGGGGTATTGGACAACTGTGCTGAGCCCATGGCTATGCCTAGGAGGGGGCAGTTTTGTTTGCCAGGACTGCTTCTCTTGCCAGGAGGGAGGCTGAGTTCACTGCAAACACTGCACATGAACCTGTCACAATCACAATCCCACAGCGGTTGTTTGGTGATGTTTTGAGGCTGATTTGCATCTTTTTGATGGCATGCTATGCAAATACACTGTTCTATCAGTGATACAGGCTTAGCACTGTTGTTCATTAAAGACCCCTGTCTGCTGCTCAGAAGAGTTAGATATAATCAGCAGTCATATATTCCAGCTAGAGCACAGATCGCTTCTCATAAAACTTGCTTCTGTCTTCTCATTTTCTGCTCAACATGATCATTAACATTTTCATCACAGTTCTTTCTTCCACAGTAGCCATGTCCACATTTGCCTCAGATTATCTTCTCTTTTTTTCTGTATAGAGGATAAATTATTAATTAAATCCTACTGTGTGCACTCAAGTCAACCGTAAGAGCTAGCAGTGTTTTCACCAAAATATCAGGATTTGTTTGTATTTGCATTATTTAAAATGGAAATATTATATTCACATTTTTTCAGGTTGTGTTTTTACCTATGCAGTTCCTCCATAAAAGATTCTACTGGTCCTCAGAAATAATTTTATTGTCAAATTCTTGCTCTGACAGAACACTAGCTTTTGCAAGAACATTGATAGGAAAGCAAATTAAAATTGCGTAGTAGGAATTCACAACATATGAACCAGCTAGTTAAAGAAAAGACATTTATGAAAATTCTATTATATTATAGAAATTGTGTGTTTTCACCACAGAACTTTCATTTTAAATAAGTGGGGTTTGGGGTGGATTTTTGGTTTTGTTTTTTCATATACAGGAAATACTGCTATTAATTGTGCTTTAACTGGATAGATTTTATGTATCCATATACCTTAGGGACATTTAAATATAAGAATTAATGGCAAAGCCTAGGATGGAATAGCTAGTGGTTTTTAATGATCTGTTGTTTTTTTCCAGCTCACATTATTTGTTTCTGTTTTTTAGTTTGTTTTTTCTTTTTTGTTGTTGTTGTTGGTTTTTTAATTAACAACAGTAATCTTGCATATAATTATACAGAACCCCTTTCCTCCAAATTTAAATAGACAGTTTGACTCAGGGTTTGAAGACAAGGTGTTTGTCACATCTATAAATTCAAATCAGGAAAGCATTACCTTTTGACTCTTCAAGTGCATGAATTTTTGAAAGTTCAGAGATTGATGTTAGCTAATGCTAATGTCAGCTGGTATCAGCTATCAGCTATTTATTTAAAATAACTGTTGGACTTAACCAGCACAACTGATTTCAGATAAGAATCTGGAAAATTAACACCGTGGAAAATTCAACCCAAAACATATTGGGAAGTAATTAAGAATGTAAAAAGAACTAAAAAGCATGGGTGGTGTAATACATGGGTGTCTTATATATCCTTCCTATCAGCCTTGAATCAGCGATATATGCAAGCAGATATATATAAGTAGGAATGTGCATATTCTCTCCTGAAACAATTTGCTCAGATGAGATTTTAGTAAAAACTCTTAACTAACCGTAATACAAGGCTAAGTGTAAGGTAGCAATTAGATGTGTGTGATGCATAAAGAAATAATCATAAAGTAATGTCTACATTTTTCACTTTTTCGTGAATTTACTTCATTGATGTCAGGGGTGTGAACTGTTTTTTCTTTCAATCTTAACATAATTTTGACACTTTAAATTGTGTTAAGGATAAATTGTGCTAATGATACTCTCAAAATTACTGGTGTGGTCTTTATTCTGGGGTACCATGCAGACTGCATTTTATAGCCTGCTACTGGCATTTTAAGCAACACAGTGGAGCACAGTTCATCATTTATGCCAAGAAGCTCATTTACGTAAGCTACAATGTCAAGTTTAATTACGGGCTACAGTGGCAAAAGAAAGCCAATTGTATGTGCTCAAAATACTTTTCAGTATTTCAGACAAATGACTGATACCCATAAAAGCAATATCCAGGGCAATTGTTAAGCTTATGATACTTAAACCTGCCTAAAATATCTAAGGCAGTATATTCCAAGAGGTTAACATTCTATAAAATTTAAATAAAAAATAAAAATTTTATAATCAAGTTGTTTCTTCATAGAGAGAAATAAAATATAGCTGGCAATTAGGAGCATTTATACCCACACATTTCCTCTGTTCAGCTCAGTGTGATTTTATAATCAGTAATTTTGTAACTGGCTTACCAAAATGGCTTTATGATGGTCCCTGGTCAAAGTAAATGTGCAGAGAAAAATCTGTTGGCATGATTTATTTTGTGTTTTTGTGTCTGCTCAGAACACTGAGTGTTTGGGAAAACAAGTCAAAACCTCTTCTGCCTAATCCTCGTCAACATTTCTCTTTCTCTTGCTCTTTGTGGCCACCACATCATAAAGGGAGAAAAGGGAGAGTTGATGCTAAGGATAAAGGTCAAGATGATAGAATATGACAACTCTTTGAATTGAAAACAAAAATGAGTGTCCCTAAGTATTCAGCATGAGCTTCTCTTTGCTCCCTGCAGGGCATCTGCACCACAACCACCGCATTTTTACACTTCTTCTTCTTAGCTTCATTCTGTTGGGTTTTGACAGAAGCGTGGCAGTCATATATGGCTGTTACTGGAAAAATTAGGACACGGCTCATAAGGAAGCGTTTCCTGTGCCTTGGATGGGGTAAGTCAGTAAAATTAATTTCCTAAGAATCATTGGAATTAAACATTTATTGCAGTGGCAGTGTCAAGAATACCGTCATCTTCTTCAGTAAAACTGAAAGATAGTGGACAGCATGTTACTAAAAGGAAAGCTAGGTTAGAAGCCTTTCCATTGTATCTCAAGCTCAAGGTATGCTGGTGTATATTGTAACATTCTTTTCTAAATATGTTTTAACAAAATTTAGAAAATTTTCAGCAAAGTAGTGTAATATCAAGAAATCAAAATAAAACAAGAAAGAAACATTCTCTGAATATTCATGAAACCTCTTTCTAGTTAAGACCTGTCAAATGTACCAGTAATTTAGCTACATCAAAGCAGTACACCGTGGGCAGAAAACAGTGTCCTCCTCCCTGCTATTGCTTCAGAAAAACAAATCCTACAATAGCAACGTGCTTCATTAAATAATTCATTCCATGTAAAATTGTCCATTTTGCATTAGCTTACCCTGTCATTTTTTGTCCAGGCAGAACAGCAATATTTTACTCAGCATCTGCTGATTATTACTGTTTTGGTTTTTTTCAGGACTGCCAGCATTAGTGGTTGCAATATCAATAGGCTTTACCAAGACAAAAGGATACGGAACAGCTCACTAGTAAGTCAATCTGAAATGATAGATTATGTTTTTAATTACTAAGATTGTCATACCCATCAGGAACTGCATAGCACACTCTAAAGGTTCTGCAGGTATGCAGTCACATCTGAAATTGCCCTGAGAGTCACTGAGTGATCCACAAAAGAACAAAGAGAAAACAGCATGCAAGTCTTGGACTAAGCTCAGCAAAGCACCAGGAATCCTAGATTTTGTTTGAGATTTTGAAATAGCAAGCTTTTAAGAAACACCGAGCATTAGGTCCACTTAGACACCTAACATTTATATAGATTTACAAAAGAGAATGTTAAATGTTATGGGTAGTCTCTGCCAACCTTTAAACATGTCCAAAACTGTACTGGCAAGAGTCTCTTTGGCACCCAGGTTTCTGCACACCAGACAGGTACCTCGACTTTAATACCCCTGAACAGCTTGGAGCCAAAGCCCTTTGAACATCTTAAAACAATTTCCCATCCACCCCCTGTCTCCTGGACACCCTGATCCAGCCCATTTCCTGGATTGTGATGTATTTGAGAGACAGAAAGGAAGAAATTCGTGTGCTTCATTTACATTCAACTACTACAGTTCCTGTTTAGCCAGCTGGCTGGTTCCAGTGTGTATTTAGCACCCCGGAAAATTAACTCCTCAGAGAGGCTGCCCTTCGATCTTCTGATGGAGAAAGAGTTGAGCCTTCCTCCTGCCAGTGGAGCACTCCAACCACCATTATGTATGCAAGAGTGTGTTTCCTTTGGTCAGCCTGTTTGGAGCTCTCCTCACGTTGCCTAAGAAATAGAGTATGCATCTGGACAGAAAGAGGAAATATGACTCTGTAGACTGGTAATGAGGGCATTCATCAGAGATGTGGATGACTTAGGTCAAGTCTTCACTTCAATGAATATTTAATTATTCTCCTTAGCATCATCACTGAGTGAGATCAGGATTCCCCCTCCCTTCCCTGTGTGTCTCACTATCTTGGCACTCCAGCTCTGGGTGGGTAAGAATACAAAACCAAATCTCCTCCTGAGTTCCAGCTCCAACCACTAAGCTCTGTAGTTACAAACTGTAACAACGTGCATCTTGAGTTTTTTAATGAGCAATGTCTTATGTAACTGAAATGCTTAATTGCACTTAGAGTTGTTGCAAGTGCAACAGTGCTCTTAGCCTCTTTTTGAGTGTTATATTGAGAACCTACTTCTCTGAATTCTTTTTTAACTATCTACTTATCTTGCTGGCTTTTTTTATTATTTAGTCCTTGAATTACAACTAGAAAACCATTTAGGCTGTGAGAATTACAAATTACAAAATAAGGATGCCCAGACCCCCATTGGGAATGTAGCTCTGTCCCTTGCAGGACTAATCCCATTACATTTGCTCTACTGAAATCATTCATATATGAGTACTTGCTTTAGTTAACATTGCTTCCTGCTTCCTTTCTGGGCTGAATGCATTTTTAAAAGATTATATTCTGAAATATTCAGACAAAGCAACAAATCATTCACTGGAAAGTAAAAAAGAGCAAGTCTCTGTACATGTAACAGCTCTTCTCCCAGGATTCAAATCCAGCTGACATGGTACTGTGGGAGAAAAGAACAAATGAAGGCGTACAAGGGACAAATAGAACCATAATTCAGCTTTCTCATCTTATTTGCAAATATATTTTCTTGGCATTTGACATCAGAATTACATAAGGAAAACAGTGAAGACAAGGAATGGAGATTCCTCCTCCATCACCAGCTGATGTGCTGTCCCACTCCAGAAGGCAGCAAAGAATTGTGTCTCATGACAACTGTTGGGCAGTGTAAAAGCAGAGCTCCTGTCCTGCTCCTTCTACCATAACTAAAGCACTTATGTGTAAGTTTTTTAATTGCTTACACTATATTTTGCCTGTTTGCCTAATTGGCTGCAGTCAATTACACAAAATGCTACTATCAGAAACACACCCTGCTGCAGACTATTCATGCTCTTTAAGATGCTCATTTTGAAAATGAGGCTGTTAAATGGAGAACATTAGAAGTGAAAATTAGGGATTTTTTTTCAGTTCCATAGTCCCACACATGAAGAGATTGATTGAAAAGAAGGTCCAAGAATCTTTGCAGCACTTCTCAGTTTGGTATGGTATATGTATGATTAGGATGCTTGAATTGTTCCCACTGGAGCCATTTCTGTGATCATCAGTCTCTGATTTCAGTCTTTTTTTTCTGAGTCCTAATTATTAGATAGTTATATTTGTGTATTTTTAAAACATATTTTTATTTTATAAAAAATATTTCGCCCCGACACTTATAGTGATAGAGATACAGAGGCTGAAGGAATTTCCTAAAAATAATTTAAAAAACCACAGAGACAAGTTTTTAGATATTTCAGGTTATCTGGAAAAGATTAATGTGTCTGAAAGCTTAGTAACTTTTTCCAGACACTTCTCTAATAAATATTGTTGCTATCTCTTTTCAGACAGTCAAAGTACCACTGCTTCAACTTATAGTTAATAAAGTGTGTGAACTGCTCATGTTAACATACAGTGCAGATAAATTCCAGGAATTTATTGCATCAGCAAAAATTAAAATTCTGTCATTGTCATATTCTTGCCATGCTCTCTTAAGAGAAGGAACCAATCTTCTGGAGAGTATCAAACATCTCAGAAAATGTACAGAACGCATGAGAAAGTGTACAGATGCTTCATCACTCAGCAGAATTTTATGACCATGTAACATGGTCCCATAAAGCCACTGGTGGCTGCTCTTAACACTAGTCAATTTATATGGCTTTCTTCTATGTGCACATCAGGGAGAAAGATGACAGAACAGGAGAACAAAATAAAAACAGCTGTAAAACACAGAAAAAAACCCAACCTATCAGAGCAAAGAAAGAGGAGAAGGAAGAAATTGTAAAAGATCTACAAGAATTGCCTTCTGGTGTAGGAAGGCACCTGAAAATATATCTGCAGACAGTCTTCAATTGGAGGAAAATGGAAGAAAATTTAATTTTAGTCATCAACTAGGAAACATTGAATATATTGTAATAATGATGTCACACACTGGTGAAGATCCAGACTGTTGAAAATTCAGATTGTGTAAACAAGAGGTTGTGATAAAAGGACAACCTCTATATTTTTTCCAGCTCTGCCTCTAAGTAGAAATCACTCTTTGGAGCAGCCATTTTACTTGATAACATGGAAAAGGGAGGGAAAAGTTTTCCTTGGTCTCAAAGCATTTTGTAGTAGAAACTGTTTTGTATTTTTTATTTACTAGACCCTTTTGTCAGCACAGATAACTAAAGTTATATTCAAACAACAATACATCAACTATTTTTATGAACTGCTGCTACCATCTTCCAAAACCATGACAATTGTAATTACAAGTCCTAATTCTCAAAGTGGTCATCTTCACTAAGTTTAAAAGTTCATATTAGTAAGGAAGTGCAGTATGAATGCATTTCCCCCTCTCAGAAATTTGTGTTCTTAGACTGACAATAATAGCCTAGCTTTTGAAAAAAATAGTAGGAAAAATTGCAGAAAATTTTGAAAACATTTTTCTTTGACACTGCAAAAATAAATTGAACATTAGTGTTGTAGGTGGTTTTTGAGGTAGGATGTACAATAACTTGGCATGTGCTACCTTTTTAACTGTGGAGCACATAGGAACTATTTGCATCCATTTATCATTCCAGAATTTAGCACACTGGTGCCGTTGCGTTCATGTGACAGTTTTCATATGGCTTCATTGCAATGGAAAATGCTTTTATTTTTTGCAGTGAGAACACCAGCCCTAACAGACCATTAATATTATGGTATTTATTTTACTTGGTTTTGAAAAATACAAAAGCACTACTGGAAAATAAAGAAGATATGTGTGATTCTGATGTGAATGTGTCTGGATGTGAAATCCAAGTAAATTATTTGAATCTATATACTGGATAAGTGTCCTTATATGTAGGTGTGATCATGCATTCAAATAAACATGCTGTTCTTTGAATGTGTAATCACTGGGAAAATAGCACAGCTGCATTTACTTCAGTGTGTGAAGCTCCTGTTCTTTTGCAGATATGAAAAGCTTTACATCATAATATATCAAATATTTAGAATTTGATTCTGTAAGTGCTCTGTGTTTGGAAATCTGTTGGTTTTCAGTGAAAGCCCTGATGCAGAATGACAAACTCTCTGAGATTAGGAGGTCTCCAGAAAATACAGTTTTCAGATGCTTTAAAATATACATTTAAATTGTTTGCAAAATATAAGAGAGAATGCAGAAGAGATCATATATAATATATGATTTTTCTCTAATGGAAATATTGTCTTTAAGGTGTGGTTCTAATAGCAATTATTAAATGACAGGATATGTAGAAACCTGCTCTTTTTCTGAAGTCCTGTATTAGAGGTACTTGACCATTTCATCACTTAAGTATAGAACTATCAGATATGTAAACTAGAAATGTTTCTAGATACCTACTTGGCAAGGCCTGTTCAGTTAACTCATCATACATGGCTAGAGGAGATTCAACAAGTATTTGCAAACTTACTTTCTATTCTGCTTTTCATACATTTTGGCCATTTCAGTTTATGTATAACTCAGATTAAAGATTTTGGAATGTTAACCACAGGTAATGGAAATATCTTTCAGCTCTCTACTTCATCATATCAACAAAGCAATTCTTCTTTGTGTGTGCATATGAATCTCATATATCAGAAAAATATATGTAGTAATTATTAATGTTTTCTTGACAATGTTTTATACTTATTTTTAATTTGTGTTAGTTCTTCTCTAATGTTCTTTCCAGTTGCTGGCTGTCTCTGGAAGGAGGGCTGCTTTATGCTTTCGTTGGACCTGCAGCTGCTGTTGTCTTGGTAAACATTAATATAATTTCCACTATTTTTGTATGAAATGATAGAAAGTGCTGCTTCCATTACAAATGCTTAGATATAAAGCAGCATTGGATTTTGCTGTAAATACTGAGATCACTGTTGTTTAACATACCTTCAGTATTCTGAATTCATGATTCATTTGATTATATCACTTCTTTATACCAATTATCTCTCCGTGTTTACACGGTAAGCTGTGAAAGAATAATGTACTGATTAGTGGCACAGAAAACTTGTTACAGGCATCACTGAGTTATTATCAGCAGCATCTACGCAATTGTCACTGCCTTGTGAAACTCAGTGACAGTCTTGATAGAGTGCTGCTTGGCAGTGGATTGCTGTGCCAGCAAAAGCAACAGAAGGAGTGGAACCTGCCAGCAAGTTCTCCATGGCTACTGCTTTTGAAGGCAAAGAAAAGAATTGCCATAGCTGGGAAATGTTACTTGTTTGTGTATTAATCTTCCACATCTCTGGACATGCATTTAGGTGTAGGATTCATTTCTGCCTAATTATAGCTATCTGCAGTGTAGATTTCTGCATCTAAGTTAGTTATCCCAGCCATATTTCATTGTCAGTGAAGAAAAATACATAGTTTTAGAGATCAAACCATCAGAAGTATTTCAGATGTCTACTTCAGGGTAAGATGAATTACATCCTACCTCTGCCATTGGCTATCAGACATCTGTTTTGCAATCTGTATGGATTTTTCACAACAATTTATTTAGCATTTTTCCCTTACAGATTTTGAATCTAATTCCTCTTTCCACTCCACAAATTTCATACTGTGATAACTCTATCAGCACTGGTTATTTCTGGTTTTCTCTTGTAAAAGAGAATCAGTCTTTTTAGTCATCAAAGATATAACTATTCATCTATTTTCCTGAAATGGATGTTTACTACTCCCATAGAGTTTGTCTCATCATTGCCTGGAGTCAAGCCAGGATCCTTTTGTACAACTCACAGTCCCTGTCACGGTAGAAGAGCCAAGGATGTTTACAAAAAGCCAGTTACAATTTTCACATGGAAGTAACTGTATGTTCTCTGTTTAATTGGCAAGTCTTTGTTCAGAAATGTTGGAAGTTCACAGTTGCAGTTTGCCCTACCATTAGCTGGTAGCTGTGGAAAGGAACTGTTCCATGCAGCCACTTAAGCCTGAGTGTACGAAGCCAAAGAATTATGTAACATCAACGGAAAAATGTTAATGCTGAAAATAAAGTTGGAATAGAATTGGCAGGGAAGACTATCGACAATTAGGTAGTTTGGTACAGGTTTTGAAAAACCAGTTTGAAAGGAAAAAAGGATTGTCCTTCTCTAATAAATGAAAAAAGGAACATTCATTTAATAGATTCAAGAACTGGTATTACCTATTTGTAGGCCCATGCAGATATAGGTTAATAGAGTTCAGTTCAATAATACAAATGGGTATTAACAGTCATTAAGTTGTCCATTAAATGCCATTAATATGTCTATTAAGTGCTAAAGTTCAACAGCTGAAAGATTTGAATTTTTTAGGTTAGATCTTCCATCCATGTTTGTGATCATAACACCATTTGCTTAATGGGGCTAAACAGACATCCCAGGAATTCACCTGGTCCACAAAAATGGTAAATTGCAGCCAATCAAGGCTCAAAACTGACATTTTGGTAAATTACATAGACAGTGACTTATGTGCAGGAAGATCTGGAAAACCACAGGCTAGTTCTGCATAAGTGGGAACACCCACTGGGTCATAAATGTTTAAAAAGGAACTGTGTTCTGACTAGCTCTTCCCTGTGCAGAGAACTCAAATTGCAGTGGTTTTCCCGGAATAGGATATCTATATTGTTGCAATTAAAACTGACAAAATATTAGTTATATTACTCAAGCTTCTGGCCATCAGACATGTACCCATATAGAGCTTTATACCAGGCAGAATACAAGGTCTCCAAACGAGCCTGTTGCAGGATATGTGTATATGTCACCTTTTTGAGAATACAGCCTTTTCATGTGTTCAGGGATGCTGCTACACAGTTTTTGAAGGAATTCTCAGAAATGTAAGAGGAGGCAAGCCTGTAAAACAATACAGCCAGGATACAATATTTTTAGGCTCTGAAAGATCAACTGTTTGTTTTCTGTTTGACAGGTCAACATGGTGATTGGCATTTTGGTATTTAATAAACTTGTTTCCAGAGATGGAATCCTAGATAAAAAACTCAAACACAGAGCGGGGTAAGCCACAACTGGGTTATTTTAAAGCATATTAAAATTTTATCACCAATTTTCAATTACAGATATTCACCAAAATGCTTTTGATCGTGCTGTGAACTTTTATATCAGTGTAGCAGTGTTTCTAACAGATTCCATTAATCTCAAAAGCTGCTGTTGCATTATCCTGAGGGAATGCAACTAAACAAAATAAATATAATAAAACACAAGTACAAGAGTATTAAGTTAATAAGAATGAGGATTTAACAAATCTGAGCAGAGGTTTCACAAGATGGTTACATGTGTAAAGCTGTTGCAGTTAGGATAACAGTTTTATGAACTGTGTATTCTGAAGGAACTGATTATTTTTGTCTAGCTGTCAAATTTAATTACTATGGCAAGAAATGTTATTTGTGTTAATTTTTGTCAAATGTATATTACAGCAATATATCCCTTACTTAGGTCAATCTTATTCTGCTATTTTGGCTCCATTAAGAATTTGCCTTTGTTCTTACATCCACATAGCATCTACATAGGTGTATTTTCTAAATTACTGTAAAAGAACATCAAAGGTAAAAAATCTCCATGGTTTAAGGGTTAAAAAAGAAAAAAGAAAGGTAAATGTGTCATATCAATTATTTACTTGCGTTTACATTAAAATTCTGTTTATTATCATGAGAAGAAAAGATTATCACAGTGGTGGTATCAGAAACTGTTATACAGTGGATGACAGCTGCAGCAGCAAACCTAGATTCAGTGCATACTGGAAAAAAATATTTCACAACTGATCACCACCTTCCTAATGCTTATGAAAGTGTATTTAAACTTTGAATAATTATTTTTTACAGTTATATTTTCTACTATTATATTTTAGGCCAGGTTATAGTTTGACTCCACCAATATCTGCATTTCTAGCAATGATAAATGGTATCTTCATTTTTGTGTGTGTTACTGCTATAAGCAAATTTATAGCAGATTCACTTTTAATTATTTTGCCATGTAACTAAGAGTAGCATTCCTAATAAGTTTGATGAGTACACTTATAATAAATACTTTAGCTGGGGTGATTTGCATTTCATATTAATTCAATCAAGTCTTTCTGGTTTTCAGTTCTTCTACCATCATTTTGACAAACATGTACCAAACCCCATAATTCTATTTCTTCTGTTTTCATTTTTTTCATTAGAAAGTATTAATTTCATAACCTTAATTTTATCTGCATTGCTCCATCAGCATTCTGAACTCTGCAATAACACTAATGAAATCTAGAATATTGTAAAACTACCCAAATTATTTCAAAAGTAACAATGACTTAGTAATCACAATTCAAATTCACATATACTCTAATTCCAGTGATATAAAGAGCTGGAACAGCCACAGGTTTGGCTTTGTAAAGTTTGTAGGGATATTCAAACTTAGATTTAACTGTTGGGGTTTTTTTTTCCCAGCTACTCAGTTGTAGGCTATATAAATCTATTTGCTTATACTTTATTTTCTTGATGAAACAAATAAATTGCTTTCTAATTGTGTAACTTAGTAAAGAAATATTTTATTTTTAAATAATCTGTCTTTAAAATAAATGGATAAAGAATCAGGGATTGTTCTGTTAGAAATAAGCTAGCTATTTGGGGAAAAGATGTAGCTACCCTAATGAGAAACAATCTTAACTTGTGTGACAATATGAGATGGTGGCTTGGCAACAGCATTTCTTGATACTGCTTGGCAGATGACATCTCTTGAGTCATTCTTTGGGGCATAGATTTTGGTTCATCATTTGATCTCCTCTAGAAAGGTGATTGTCACTCATTCCTCCAGTATCTTTTGCCAGCCACGCTCAGGAAGGCAACTTCATTCTTCCTGGCAAACTTTGAACTTCTAATTGTCAAAACTGCAGTCAAAAGTTCAGCCCTAGGATTTAAAACAAGTGAATGGGGCAAAATATACTAACTCCATATGATTTATCATCTTAATAAGCATATGTAGAATCAACAAGTGGGAAAAAATATGTTGATGGATCTTAATCATGACCTCAATCCTTTTCCTGGTAAAAGAGGAAGCATATGCAAATGCCCAGGCTGAAAATTTACATTTGGTTTATACACTATACATTAAGTTCTATTATTATTTGCAAGAAACAGAGCAGTTTTTTAGAGGTAAAGAGAATAATCCAGTCTAATAATGCTGAAGCACTGCCAGGCAAAACAGAAAGTACTTTCACAAGCCTAGTTTATACTTACCCAAGGCATTTTTCTAATTCATTCTTTAATCTATATTTTTAATTGGTGCTAACTGATGTGGATTCACTGAGTTATTTTCCCACCCCAAAATCATCTTATAAAAGATCTCAGTTCTCACTTTTTTCTTACAGAAGAAACTGCCTTTTTATGAGAAATATATTTTGCACTTTTTAGTGGAAAATCATTTGGTTTATCAAAGTGAAAAACACTGGAGTTCGTTGTTGTTTTGGACACTGTGTTAAAATTCTTGTAAGTGCTGGGTTTGGCAATAGCAAAGAGTTCAGTTGGTTGAAATAACTGGGAAAAATCCCAAAATGTTACTTAATCTTCACCATGTTGACTGCTTTCCAGCTGGAAGAGGTAAAACATCCTTCCTGTCAGCTATATCACACCTTATTCAGCTGTAATTACTCCCAGTTCTGATAGCAGAACGAGAAGGAATAGGAAAAATATTTATTTAGTTGATTTGAGAGGCTGAATGCATGCTGTATGGAAAACTTAAATTCCAGGTTTTGTCTTTCTTCTGACAGGTGCAGAGGTACAATTAATTGTCTATATAAAATGCTTTGAGCTTAATGCTTGTGTACTGTGTTTTATTAAAAGGCAAAACAGGTCACCCTTTTTTAGTACCAACTGATATTTATTTCATCTGATTCCATACGTTTCAAGCCCTGTATTCAGACCTTTATATGACATGAATAAAACTATTCTAGATATTAGTGGGCCGTGTGGTCACTAGTACAATTCTGACTATACAGTATGCACATACTGATTTGATGTGTGAGTCAATTTTGCAGGTTTCATTCCCTATTAATGCTCTGTAATGCTCCATACTTCACACCTCTTTTAAGTGGCCTGTGCTCTTTCTCTAGCACGTTTGGATGCAGCAGTGGCTCATCGGGTCTGAATAGAGGGATTTCACTTTGTGTGTCTACCCTAGCACGTGCTTATGTTTACTTCAGTGTACCGAGCAGTTTTTGATCACGTTTGGGGCCTTTTTTAGGTTAAATGGAAGAAATAGAGTTTGCATGAAATTAAGCCCCATAGCATTAACATGTAAAGCTAACAATAATGTAAAGTAAAAAATACAGTTTTGCAACAATATAGAGCAGTCATTTTGAATAAGTCTACTTAATTTTTCTGCATGACGTCATATTTAAAAGCTAAATTTCAGTAGCAACGTTTTTTGGTGACAATTCAATATTTTGTTCTTTTTGTGGGTGTTCTGTTTGTTTGCAGTCAGATGAGTGAGCCTCATAGCGGTTTGACGCTCAAATGTGCCAAGTGTGGAGTAGTTTCAACAACAGCTTTGTCAGCCACCACCGCCAGTAATGCCATGTTAGTCCTGATCATTTACATCTTCTTGTTACAAATCTTATACAGTGCATGTGAGACAATAGCTTGATGATGACAACTGTGTTTGCTAACACTGTATAAAGTGCTAAGCACATTTAAATACTTTTTTAAAAATTGCAAATGTGTTTATTAACTGAATACAGGATATTCTTTAGAACATAAAGTACAACTGTTATATTCTTGTCTATGATTTTCAAGTTAAATTGATAAAGTGACATCTTTAAATATGCTTTATTTTAATAGTGAGCTTTTAATATTTTTTTTTCAATATTACAATACTGCTTTTCTCTTTTTTTCAATAGGGCATCCCTTTGGAGCTCCTGTGTGGTGTTGCCACTTCTAGCACTGACTTGGATGTCTGCAGTTCTGGCCATGACAGACAAAAGATCTATATTATTTCAGATACTTTTTGCAGTATTTGATTCATTGCAAGGCTTTGTTATTGTCATGGTCCATTGTATTCTCCGAAGGGAGGTGAGGAATGGCTTCCCAGTTTTCCAAGGGGCTGTGCTCCTGTTAATCTATCAACTGCTCTTTAATGTTATATACAGCTTCCTCTGCACAAATATATTTCATGGAAAGACAAAAATCATTTATGGTGAGATGTGTAGGAACAAGTGAAAGATGAAAAGATAAAAAGTGAAAGAGGGGGAATATTGATTAATTCCAAGTGCAAAATATCAGTATAAAACTTAACCAACTTAATTCAAGGTGTCTTTTAATCAATCCCAAGTGCAGTTGATTTCTAAGGAAGGAGTATAGGAAGAGGTGAACATGAATGCCCTTCTGAAGGTCAAAAGCTATAGATTTTTAAACACTCTAAAACAGATTCAAATGCAACATTTTTTCATCTTATACTGTCCCTGAAAGAGGACACAAGGAGATGACGTGTTGGTGAAGAGCTACCATTTCAGGTCTCCGAACTCAGGTACATGCTAAAGTTATGGGGACAGTGAGGATGAAGACAGATGAGTGCTGTGAGAACAGCAAGGACTAGCAGACCCTTGATGCCCTTCACAGCTCAGTGCCACCTGCCACAGGATTCATCACCACTGAAATCTGATGGCAAAGCTCCTACACAAATGCTCTTTAATCTGGCTCTGGTGGCAGCTTCTCTAACCTGCCTAACCTGCTAACTAACCCCACATTCTGTTGAGATGGGTTTGAGAGCAGTAGCATAAAGCTTTGTGGGCATATCTGGGGTAATGGGGCTCTCCATCAAAAATTAGGAGCTGGTGCTGGACTGGAGAGTAGTTCCTGGTCCATGGGCATACCTGTGTGCTAGTCATTTATCAACTTGAGGATATTTACCACACCAGTAAACCAGATTATAATATCCAGCCTATTTCTCTGGGATGAGCAAGAGATATTTGAAAACCTCAGGACTAAAAAAAAAACAAAAACAAAAACTAGGAAGATGTTTCAAAAAAGCTTTATTGTCAATGCTGAGTGAGGAATCTCACACAGGGGTTTCCCTTTTCACCATGACACCCTTTAAACACTGAAATTCAATATATTGAAAAATAATTATGAGTGACTAATTTATTCAATTCTTTCAGCATTGTACCACTTTGCATGAGATTTATATCACTATCCTTCACAGTATGCATATGTGATTATCTTATCAAATAATGAAGTTTTTAATTTTTAAAGAAAAAATCAGTATCTTGCCGAAATTAGCACCTTACATTGTGCTGATTGCTTCTCACTTTAATCACACTGTTGGGGTGATGAACTTTTGCATTTCTTGGTTTATCAGCTCTCATATTGGAGGGAGTTTACCTCATTTAATAGGTTTTTTTTTTCTTCCTTTGACTTTTCCTTTTGTTCGGGGTAAGAATATGTGCAGAATAAGAGATAATACTCTAGAAAAATCTATTTTATGTAGAACTGTCTTGTAATCCCCTTATTTTCTTAAGCAATTTCTTTCCCAATATGATTTACATCTGGGAAAGAGGGTAGTCTCATCTGTAAATCTGAAAGCAATAATTTCCTGTATTCTTATAGTCTAATGGTAAGACACTGCACCTATTTTCAGTAGAAAGAACAGTGGTTTCATACTGTGAAATTTTTGTGTCCATTGGGATTTATTAATTAACCTAGAAAGGGCATACTACCTCCCACTTACTGTCCTAGGGAATCATTTTAATGTTAAAATATATACCTTTTGCTTGAGGTTGCACGTGAAACATTGAAAACTAAATCACTATGAACATTATCTTTCACAGAGTCATAGAATATTGTCAGTAGGAAGAAACCCATAAGGAACATTGATTCCAGCTCCCTGCTCCTCACAAAACTACCTAAAACTAAACCATATAACTATGAATTGTCCAGACACTCCTCGAACTCTGACCTTGGCTTGGAGCCAAGTGTGTTCCAGTTACCAACCAGCCTCAGGGCAAAGAACCTTTTTCTAATGTTCAATCTGAATTCCCCTATTCATTTCATTTCCTCATGTTCTAATTCCATTTCCTTTTGTCCTACTTCCGTCTTCCTGTGTCTTTTTAAGGATCCCGAGAGGGCTAAAACATATACCTGGTTATCAGTCATTGATTTTCTCAAAAAAAGACCAAAATCTATGAGAAATTCTTAATACAACTTAGCATAGCACAGGATAAAATAAAATCTAAAAAAATAATAAAACAGCAGTTAAGTTTGCACCGTGCAGTAATGCAGAAGCTGATTTGGAAAAAGATATATTTTGACTGTTGATGTAAGATGAAAATCAAAAGACATCTTCCAACAATGCCCTAAACCTTAAATTAAAGACAGATAATGGCAACTCTTTTCTGCAAATGCTCCATTCTCAGGAAATGTTGCAATAATGCTGAAAATTTCATAGAAACATTCTTGTCTGACCATACTCACAGGTAGGACTGTGGTGATTAAGGTGGAATTTGTCTTTTCTATATGTGAACTCAATTTTCAAATTCGTAGGATATCTTGACTGGAACCACTTTTAGCTCACTGTTTCTAATGTAGGCAATATGCAAAAATACTGGATTATAAATATGTTTATACAGGAATCTTTTCTTTAGGTTAATGTGTAAGAAATCAGCTAGTTAGCTAGTTATGGTTTATTTTGTTCGCTGCTTGTTTAGCAAAACACAGATATATAGATGTATTTAGAGATCGATAGATAGATAGATAGATAGATAGATAGATAGACAATCTAACTGCAAAGAATCATAACTCTGTTTAACAACTAACAGAAGTTGCTCCAGCAAGTCAGTTTTAGCAGTTACACATCACAGCTCTAAAGCGGAAATTCTAGAAGAAAGGCATTTTATAAAGCAGCTAAACAATCTATTTACATGGTATTTTTTAAAAATTTCCTCATGAGAATGCTTCCCAGTGAGGCCCAAAAACCACCAATGTTAGTTAAGGTTCTGTCTTATCAAAATGGGGGAGATGTTTCTTCTTCAGCCATGACAACTTAGGCAGAAGTAAATGTACAGAGACAACTTATTCACTAATCAGTAAATTATCTCCAGCCAAAATGATGATAGTGGTTTTGGTGGAAGACAAAGAAGCCTAGGTATATTGCTAATTGAACTCTGAGAGAACACATTTAATTTTCTTTAGTCCTCCAGATCTAAATTGCAAGCTGGTCAAAACACTTCAGGAATTAATTAAGGCAATATTTTTCATATGGGAAAAGATAATTCATAGAAATTTCTTGAAGAAGCACAAAGAAGTAAAAGTTGATGCACTTGAATCAATTTCAATTTCGAAAATATGTACAGTCTGCAATTATTTGGTTCAGTTTGCATAGTCATAGTTGTCTACTACACAGAAAGAGATGTAAGTCCAGTAAGTTTTGTTTCAGTCTGTCTCCGGAGTCTGGCTTTCCAACCCCAGAGACCCTCAGGTGAGTACAGGCCAAGAGAGTGGCCATCCTGCAGAATGGGCAGTGCCATTGTGCACTGCACATGGTGCCTCCCAGCTGAAAGAATAGTCTGGTACTTTTGGTTGTCTGCAAAAGCATTTTGCTCTGCCAGTGCCTGTCAAGGAAATCCTGCCAGCATATTTGTCACTCTTGATGACGGCTAGAAAGCTATCTCAGTTATAGCCTATAAGATTGATCTAATATTTATGGCATGCCAGCACAGGCAAAACAATAATTCTGACTGTCAGGGAAAAGAAATCTGGGGAGGAATACATCTCCATAAAATTCAAACAAAGAGGACAGCCCTGCTTTACTATGCCTTTATTGTTATTACATCACAAAAAGAGACAGACTTCTACAATTGTATATAAAAGCCCTTTTTTTTCTCTTAGTTGTATTGATAGAAGCATAAATGATGGAAATATTTGTTACTTTCTCTAACACACTGTATTGAAGACCTTTTGTGACAGGGGCTGCATTAGGAAGCCAGGGATTTTCACCAACTAAGATGTACAACTGGAAGAGAACTAAGTGATGTGTCATCTATTTTTGTCCACTATCAATTCAGTGTCTTTTGGAAAGACATTCAATCTTTCTATACTTCTATTTCCTAACCTCTAAAATGAATATGATACTTTTTAAGCATAAGACCTTTCATAGACTATTTGGAAATTTTGGAAGAAAACTGCAAGGTAATTAGATATTATTGCTTTTTTTTTGTCTTCCTAGCCCAAAGAGCCTAGAGTAGCTATTTTTTTCCTCACCTTGCTCTTTAAACCCCTAATTGGGATTGGAAGATGGTGATGAATGTGTCACAGAATGATACAAGGGGTCAGTGTTGAAGGTTATCTATCTCAGCAAAACAGTTTGCCTGATCTGCTTGAACACAAGATGCTTTAAAGCCGATTTGAATCACACTTAGTAACTTATGTTAATGCTGATGATGGGAGGGACCCATATGAAATTTTTTCTTTAGCTGTGCTCTGTGGAGTAGAGAGCATTTGGATTAAATTCATCGTTGGCATCTAGAGCCCACATTTCAGAATTGCAGGAGAAAAATAAAAGTACATGAGTAGGGTAAGGGTAAGTTATAAAAGCTTGGAGCTGGTTACTGTTGCTAAGGAAACTACTTCCCTGGTATCTGCACGTTCATCACATCTGTCTCTCCTTCTATGCCTGGCTCTAAGAAAATCTTGTAACTTGATGTTAAAAGGAATGGGGGAAAACAAGATTATGTTTCAAAGAAAACTGTAAAGACAGCACACTCTTTACGTACTCAAACAACAATTTTGAACAAGCAGTTTAGAAGAGTAAACTGGTATTTAGAAAGTTCAACCATTTTGATTATCACTTGGGTGAGGACATCTAGAAATTACAACATATGTCATTATCACGGATAATGCTACGTTTGACATTCTGTTAACATGTTCAGATCATATGCTGCTTGCACTTCAGAAGCGTTGTAAGAAACATGCACATTTAAGAGGATCCTAAAATCAAGATTCACTGCTTTAATGTAGAAGGGGCTGAAAGTATAGCATGAGATTCTTGAGATCTTCTGGAGCTATTAGAACTGGGCAACCTCCATGAACACAGAGTCTCAAAAATTAGGAGGCCACTGCACAGAGTGCAGTAAGATAAACACTGTGTTCTGAACTAACAGTGCTTTGGAGTCAAGCATCATATGCCTTGAGATGAGATTGAGCACAGCTGGGGATACTTTGAAGGAGGCATTTTTTATTATATTTTTTGTCAAATCACTGTGCCAGTGCTTATCCAAGAGTATAAAACTCTGAAGTGTGACCTAACTTCAGCATTGATAAAGTGAGAGAAGACTTGGATTAAATTTGCAGCAACTGGGAGATGCCAAATTAAATTAACATCAAACACATGGAAAACCAAAGCAAGTGTAGTGACCTAAAATCAGAATCTGAGTTTCAATACAGCACACTTTAAATTACAACATGTGGTAAGTCTTGGTGTTTTGAAATCAATCCAAACCTTCCCACCTTGCTTCATTCTTCTTTCTGTCCTATTTTTGGCTCCCTCCACCTTCAACAGTCACTTAGCAAGACTGCAGAGCACTCCTATTCATTTAAGGATTGAGCCCTTTAAAAACATGCTTTCTAATTAGAATATTTTTAAATTTCATTTTTACTTTTGTGATAGCTTCTATACACTTAAAGGGGATAGCTTCCCATCAGCAACAATTGATGAATTATCCTCTTCTGCTGTTCATAAAATGTCCATGAGTAGAAGGCAATTTTCTCCCTTTTAATTATTCTGAATCAGACATCAAGTAATTTTTACAGATAATAAATGGAATGTAGTTTTTTATAGGCATTTCATTCATAATACTTTTATATTCGAATAAGAAACTGTATCACCCAACCAAGTTCCTGTTTTCCATGTCACATCTTGCAATCAGGAATATTATTATGTATTTAATATAGACACTTGCATTTCTGGCACTAAAATTCACATTGTAAAACATTTTATTCTAAAAGTTGCTTTGACATCCTTATTGTTGAGAGAAAGCAGTAAAATATGTTTGCATTCTGCTGTCAGCAAACAGAAACTGCCTTTTCCTTTTCAATGTGCTCCTCTGTTGAAGCACATTTCTATCAGAAGTGCTGAATAATATTATTTCTTTAAACATGCACTCTGTCCAAAATGAAAGTAAAAATAGCATTTCCTATAAAAAATATTATTCAATTATACTATGTTATAGGGAGAATTCTTCAAATTTACTTTATGAATCATATTAATAAGCAGTAATTTCTGATAACTTCCTTTTGTACTTTCAATATATCTGTCTATGTGCGAAAAGTCCACTTTTCCTCATGTGCTCACACTGAAGATATTTCTCTCATCTGAAGAGTTTTACTCCTAGAAGAGATGCATTAGATTTCCTGTATGTGGAGTTAAAAATTATTATTAGAATCAGTATATCTTTCAAATAGACTTATTGCTTAAAGTTTGGGAAATTACAGTAATTGTTAAGAACTGATTTCAATAACTGTCTGATTACTATAACTGTAAAGAACTGTCTTTCAAGAATCTTACATTTATCAAGAAGAAGATACACTTATCTTGCAATGGCTAGCAGTATATCACTAATCTTTTTATCTGACTTTTACCAAAGTGAATAAGACAAAGCCAAATGCTATCACCAAAACAGATTTGGCTTAAATACCATATAATCACTGTCTAGTAGCTAATTCTGGCCACACATGAAACTAATTCTGTGGTCTCGATATGATAGACTGACAAATTTATTGCAGCCACAAACTATAACAAATGTATGAAATGAGAGAAATAGGCATAATATGTTTATTGCCTCTGATTTATGAAGTGGTCTAAAGAAAAGTCATGCACTGTGTTCCATATGATTTAATTTAATCTCTAATAGGAATCTATTATGTTACACAAGAATCAGTATAAGATTTTTTTTACAGGTTCAAGATGCTTTCAGATGTCGGCTAAGAAATTGCCAGGATCCAATCAATGCAGATTCTTCAAGTTCTTTTCCTAATGGACATGCTCAAATCATGGTTAGCTTTTATTTTCTTCTTTGACTATGAATTTAGTATTCCTAAGAAAAACTTACTGTATTGCATGTGACAAGTTTGCATAGCTGAAATACTAACACCTAAGCAAAAGACTGTTTAGGTTATCATCTGCTTGTTTAAATATCTTAGCTAGTTTTAAGTTATTGATGTGATTATTTAGTGGAGCACAGTGAATTAATATCTTCCACCAGTGTTCTTTAGAACAAAATAATTTTATATAAGAGAATAAAAAATAATTTAATAATATGTTGTGACTTTTTTTAGTGTTGGTGTAAAGTGCTAGACATTTTACAGGGGGAATCTATTTAGTGTGTTAAATTAAGAGATAATGAGTTGTGCTAATATTATTAGGTAATATATTAAGACAATATATTGGTCTCTTCACTTTGAACAAGAGTTTGTCATTGACTACAATGGGGTCAGAATCCAGTCCTAACGACATGCAAGGCTTAGCAAAAAATCCAAGGTACAGCAAGCCCTTCAAAATGATGACTCAAAAAAAGAATTTAGTGTTTGGACTTCACAAGCAAGAAAGACATCAGTTTTACCGAACATTTAGCATGGAAGAAACTTCTTGTGAAAATAAAAAAAAAAATAATAAATTCTCTAACAGAATAAATAGCTTTGTTTAACTAGGAAGGTTAACTATTTCCAACTGTTAAAATTCTTTCTTAGATCTTACAATTAATTTTTGCACAATGAAATAAATAATAATTGTTTTCAGGGAAGGCAAAAATTTTATATGACCACATTAGTAGTAAGAAATTACAGAATGTTTCATAACAAATAAGCGCTTTACAACAAATTAATGAAGTTTCAAACAGGATGGACTATTTGAATTACACTTATTCACAGTAATTTGTATTACAGGTTGTTTTTCAAACTTCTTTTCATATCATTATTATGAAAAGCTTCCTTAAAGAAGATCCTTTGATGAGATGTAGAAGTTATTCTTCCATGCACATTAAAACCTATACACTGTTGACGCAACACACTCCATCACTTTATTAAAATTACATACTCTACTTCCACCTATTTTATTTTATTTTTTCTGATCAGGCAGCATACTTTGAAAACCACCCAGTTATACTTAGGAAACTTTGTAAAGTTCTGAAGTTGTAAAACAATACACTTCACTTTCTCAGCAACAAGAAACCACTTTTAAGAGACTATGACCCTGTAAGTTAGGGCATTTTGGAAGCACTAGTTGGCAAAAAGGAATTGTGGCTTGTTGTTGAGTTAATAATGGCTGTTCTGTTTCACTATTTCTTGTTACAGACTGATTTTGAGAAGGATGTGGACATTGCTTGTCGGTCAGGTAAGAGCATTAAGAGAGTATTTAGCCAACAAAAAGTAGTCTGGTACGAGTTCCTTGTGAAATGAAAGCCAGAAAAATGTTGGGGTTTAGCTGTTAATAGGAAATACTTATTAATTTAAATGAATGAAAATATGACAAAATTATGTCACTGTATGAATACATTTATTGAATTTTGTTACTAAGGCCATTAACTAGAATTCAGCATTTGGAAAGTAGTCAAAGGTGTGACTGCCTATTAGAAAACAAATAGTTGTGCAAAGATATTTCTTAACACATTAAGCCTTCCTTTCCCAGTATACAAGCAAAAGTGAAAACATCATTTTACTTTAACGAGAAAATAAAAAAAAGTGTGTGTCTTGACAGCTGTGTATATGAAGGATGCATCTATTTGCATTCATTTTAAAGAGGGTATGTTTTTTAGGACTCTAAGTGAAATCAACAATAGTTTAAGGAAATTAAGTTTTATTCAACTTTAATGAGAAAAGTTACAGGGTTTTTTAAGGTATTTCAGTAGTAGGATCTTTAATCAGTTTTCTGTGTTTGTTTCCATATATTAAAGACAACACATTTCGAGCTTTTTATTTGCCAACCTTGTTTAAATAGTGCAGTGTAAAATAAATTAATATTTAAACTCTACATAATTTTTTAAATCTAGGAGATATTTCCAAAGGACAGTTTTTCCTAGGCAAACAGTCTTGCCTAAACCCTCAGTTTTCAACAAAGGGAAAGAGAAAGAGAGAGTGTGTCTTCTCCACAGAGTGAGTCAGAGCAGAAGCCTGATTTAGCTGTTCTGCATCACCCACCTGAAGGACACTCTCTTCACTGGCTGTATGTGGAGCCAAGAAAGCTGATCTCATTAAGGTGAAGTTTGAGTTTCCAGTCACCCACCTTTAACAAACTGCCAATTGAATTTCTTGCTATGTAGACATAGTTCTTCCCTACAGATCAGTTTTAATATGCACATGTATTTTGGAGGAATCAGGATAGTGCATTGTAGCACAAATGCCTGTGTGTCACCATGCAATGCAGACAAGAATCCAGCACTGATCCATGTAGTTCCCATTTCTTACCTGTGATAACATAGCTCTGCAGTACAGAGGGCCTTGTCAGAGGTGTCCTAAAAGAGATTGACTCTGAATGCATTTATGAACAGGCTTCACTAGATAAGCATTTGAACTCTCTTTCTGATAATGAAAAATTTAAGGATAGGTCACTGTTTGAAATGTCTGAACAAGTGTCACTGGAAACAGTGAAGCAGCCACTGAATTCAGGTATTTGTACATAGTTGTTTAGAAGCAAATTATTCTTTTCATAATGGAAAAAAAAGAGATTTATTTTAGTGTGAGGAAACAGAGTCAGATATCTTATGAGCTGCTTGCTATGGAGAAAGGCAGTGAACTGACAGGCGAGTACTGGGGATCTGGGTCATCAGAGCCCTTGGGCAACCAGAAGAGATGCAAATGTAATACCTAGATACTTCAAGTTGTCTTTCTGTCTCAGCCCATGAGCTGGGTTTTGTTGTAAAAAATAGCTCTGGTGTGAATTAAAATATTTTCAACCAGGACCAGAAAATCCCTACAGCCAGTTGGAATAAGCCTAGTAACTGGTCACTTTAATTTTTTTCTTTCTACCCTTTTTATTTCATTACAGATGTTGGATTATAGACTTGCTCTTTTTTTTTATTTTTAAGATGAATAATTGTGATTGAATAGATGCTTTGCTTTGGAAGCCATTCTTCAATGCTTCTGGAAATTTTGAATTTATGACAGGATAAGTAACTTTTACATGTAAACCTCAGCCTAACAAAAATTGCTGAATGTTGCTACAAGTTTCACCAGGAAGGTCTAGGCTGAGGAAAAAAGTGGATTATGACTGTGTTATAAAACATGTTTATATTCTTTATAATCTTTCCAGATGCAGTAAAATATTATTTCTGATACCAATTGAATTTCTTCCCAATGTGGTAATTCCTTTGTCACTACTATTTTAAAACATAATTTAACAGAGAAGAGTTTTTAAAAGTTGGTGAAAAGGAATATTTAGGAGTTTAGGAACACATGCTCATAGTTATAATCTTATAGTAGGTCATTACAATGAATTGACAAAATGATTCTGCCTTACAATCTGTTTGACATTTTCCAGGAGGTTATGTGGAGTTAATAACAGCAGTATAGATGTCATAGTGTATTTTTTTGGAAAACCCTTAACGAGTTCCACATGGCAGGCTTGTGGTTAAGCTGTAAGTCACCTAAAATATATGTAAATCAATAGGAATAAATGAAGTGTTTTTAATTCATATAAATAACTGAAGCTAGTCAGAGATCAGTGTCAGTTATACACAGTAGATTAAGAGAACAAAAAACCCAAAACCACAGAAAAGCTGCTCCAAAAACAATATTTATAAAATGAAGGTTAATAAGTGGAAAGAAAATATTTTAGAAGATGCACTGGTAAAGGAAGCACTGCTAGATAAATCCACAAGAAAAAGCAGTGTTAGGTTGATATGGTTTCATGCTGTAAGAATCCTGTCCTCTGACCCACAGTTCTGCATAAAGACATTGGACCTTGCAGAGCAGCCACTATAACAGGAACACTTTCTAGAATTTCACTAAATGATGAAGAGGAGGAAAAGGGACCAAACCCTGAAGGAATGAGCTATTCAACCTTGCCTGGAAACATCATCTCCAAAGTCATCATCCAGCAACCAACAGGTCTCCACATGCCTATGAGTATGAGTGAACTGGCCAATCAGTGCTTGAAAAAGGACAACAGTGAGCTGCGGAGGACCGTGTATCTGTGCACTGACGATAATTTGAGAGGTGCAGACATGGACATAGTCCATCCTCAAGAACGGATGATAGAAAGCGACTACATAGTCATGCCCCGGGGCTCCGTAAATACCCAGCCATCACTGAAGGATGAAAGCAAAATGAATATAGGCATGGATACCTTGCCTCATGAAAGGCTGTTGCACTACAAAGTTAATCCCGAGTTCAATATGAATCCCTCTGTAATGGACCAGTTTAATATCAATTTAGACCAGCATCTTCCCACCCAAGAACATATGCAGAGCTTGCCGTTTGAGCCCCGCACAGCAGTGAAGAATTTCATTGCCTCAGAGCTGGATGACAATGCAGGATTATCAAGAAGTGAAACTGGATCTACAATATCATTGAGCTCTTTAGAGGTCAGTGGTGCATAAACAAATTGCATGCTCTGTTGTTCTAATTTTATGGTAAGACAATAAATTGTGTCTTGTGTCTAAGGGGTGAAACTAATGTTTTAATTCAGTATGAATTATTGTTTGGGATCATACACTGCTGTTCATATTTCTCTTATTATCAGAAGTGTTTATACCTAGAAAACAAGACTAAAGTTTCAGAGCCAATCTGTATGAAACAATATAGTTCTGGAGATTTAACATTCCACACGACTGCCGAGGATTTCGTGACCTACCAGGTAAAGTCCCCTGGAAAATTCTGTGTTGCTATGAGAAGAAAAGCTATTCCTGCAAGATAGAAGTGCTAATCATTGGCCCTACCTGCAAGCACATGCAGTTGAAAATATTTGCCATTTTATTGCTGACAATCATATCTGTCTCAGATATGATAGGTCTGCTTCTGCTCTCATTGGTGTAAATCTTGGATTCTTCCATCCAATAGTTCACTGTTTATTGATTTAGTTTTGTTTGCATGTGCATGCAGGCATTGGTACAACTGATGTGTGCAATAGGTACAGGTGGGCTTCGTGTGGAGTATCACAGATTTCAGCCAGATTGCAAAGTGAACTGAAAAGCCTTTAAAAGGCTTTCAGTTATTACTACAATCTGTCTGTGGGATTTTGGCGTTTTCAAAGTGAAAACTATTGAAATAAATTCTTAAGACCTAAGCATCAAACACTGCCATTATTATTTAGCTTTTACCTATGAAAGCCAGGAGTGAGCTGGAGTTAGTTTCATACTTGGATCTCCTTAAGAACTGGGAATACATCTCACCAGCATGTCAAATGTGAAACATGACATTTTGTGGGACAGAGAAAGACAAATGAGAAAATCGTGGTACTCACTCATTCACTGAAAGAAGTTACACATGGAAAAAAAGTCTAATGTATATGCAGACTTGAAGCCGTTAGCTATGACTCTACAATGTTTGGACCCGTCCGTGTGGGGAAACAGAGACTTGGCCTGATTTTTCAATTTTTAGATGCAACTGAAGCTGATAGTTCATAAATGGTGGATACTTACAGATATTTCTTTTTAAATGGAGTTGAGTTTTATGTAGATGAAGTTTTATGAAGAATTGGGGCAGAAGATCAGAGTTTAATTTGTTTTCAGGAGATATCTTCACAGGTTTGAAAACAAAATATTTTCCGTGCTGTTTATATTGTGTGTGTACCACCATAAGTTTTTACAAGACTTGATTTAACTTAAAAATTAACAGAAAATGAAGTGTGGGGATCTGCAAGGAATCAAAAATTATCCATGTTTTGGTTGTTGTTAAAGTGAATATTTATAATCTTGAACAAATTTTCAAAATTATTTCTAAAAGATAGTTTAAGTGCTTGCCCTTTCAGTGCTCAGATAGACAGGCTCTTTCAAAGCAAATCTGCCTTATTACAGAAATTACTGCCCTCAGAGTTCAGATATATTAGCTAATAGATCTTAGGTGATGCAGAGGAGTTCTCAAATTTAATGCAACCCCAGAAGGAGAATAGCTAAGGTCACCTTCCAGCAGTATCCTCTCCCGCCTATCTACAATACCGTCTTTCAGATAATTTTTGTCAGATATAGAGGCTTAAATCCGGTCCATTTAATATTAGACATGTGGATATGTGAGGAAGATTCATAATTCTTTGAGAAGATGAACATATATGCCACGATACAATCCAGTCTAAATTAATTTCTGATGATGCATCTTTCTTTCCCTCCATTGGTGATGAGGTTCATCTAGGACACAAAAAAAATGCAAAAAAAACCCCCAAAAAACCCCAACAACAACAAAAACAAAACAAAAAACAACAACAACAAAAAAAAAAACCAACAAAAAAACCAAACCAAAACAAAAAACCAAACAGATCTTAGTTAAGTTGTAAAATTCGTGACAATGTCTATCAGTATAATGTACCGCTCCTTTAAAGTTGTTTTTCTAACTGTATTTGTATCATATTTTAACTTTACCTCTAAGATGGGATGTAGACACAGATTCTCAGTCACCATTCTGTATGTCATTTTTATGCTCAGAAGAGACTACTAAGTATGTAGTAGAAAGTGCAGTAAAATACAATAAGATAGTAAATATATAGTCTCTTCTAACTTGGGAAACATACTAGCTTTAGCTGGCTGTATTTTGGTCCGAAAAGCCAGTTCTGTTTGTAAACCTCATCAAACCCAGCATAATCCTATGTAGTAGGGAAAAACCACAGATATTAGGGCAGGTCAGAAATGAAAGAAACTGTTTCGGCTTTTGTGTCTGCCTTTGTGATTCCCAGCATTACTTGATGAGGATGTGCTGCACTGAATTGAAGATAGGAACATGAAAGAAAATTGTATATGGAAGAAAATCAGAGTCTCAAGCAGATCCTGATAAGCAGATCCAGCTCGATAAAGAACGTGATTGTCTTTTTGCATATGCAGTGTTTAAGAAGCAAGGGTTCAGGTAAAGCCCAAAGTGATATTGGCTGGAACTGACTGGCTGGATTCACTTTTGTGGCTCCTTTAAACAAATTAAAAATGGGAGGGCAAGGGATTTGTTTTTTAGAAGATTTTCAAAAGACAGGGCTTTGTCAGATATTATGGAGCAGCAAAACTTTCAGCAGAACATTCAAGATCACCCTGCCCACCTTTATCCTGACAGAGCAGCATAGACCAGCAGACCAGCTCTAAAGGAGAAGATCCTGAGCAGCAGAAAGCTCCCTCCTCCTATCAGCTTGTAGTTGGAACACAACTACTGTATCAGCACAAAAAAACTTATATCCTGACTTCTGACTCTGAAGGGAGTCAGTCACCATCCCTACCATTAAATAGCTAAATGCAGACATTCCCCTTCTGAAATGGAAAAAGAGCCCTTCACATTTGGCTCCCCTATAGAGTCAATTGAGACAAATAGCCATTTTTAGGCCACTTTTAGACATCTGCTCCAGGATGAAGTAAATGACATGCCTCAGTGCAGGTGTCTCTTTCCAGATTCCATAGAGGAAGCCAGAATGAGTAGTTCAAACACAGGCATCAAAAATGGTGATGTTCTAAATTTAGTCAGATGAGTCCTACTGTGTGTTACAAACTTTCTTCTAAAACTTTTAGATCTATTTTTTTTTCTGAAAACAATGTGATGTGAACAATAAATACTTTATTATGTCTGGAAGAATTTTAGTTTTCAAAAGGTAGTTTGAGAATGCCATAATATTTACATAAAATTATTGCCCAGATAAGTATAAATTTAAGGATGTGCAGATTTGCAATGTACAAATCAAAGATTTTTATTTTATTTGGTATGCACCCAAGAGTATTTATGTGATTATAGGCACAGGCAGGCATATTAGCACATCATGGAGTTTCTAAGGGGGACTAATCAAATACCTGGTTAATCTCCTGAACATCCCTTATATGCATGGATTAAAACTGGCTTTGCTACATTGGCATCAAAGTGCCTTGGAGTATGCTCCTTCAGTTCAAAGTGTTTTGATTCTAATGAAGAAAACACTCAATACAGTCTTTTGGAATGGCTTTTGTTTTGAAAATGTGCGTCGAGTTTTGTGTTCATTAAAATGAAATTACTTTGAAGTGAAGTACTGCATTCCCAGACATTCCCAGAAATGCATACTGCATTTCTCAGAGGAAAGTTAGGAGGTTATAATGTGGAGGAAGAAGCTGAGGAACATGTCTCCAGGATAAATAGTTAATCTCCTTTTATTGGGCAAAAATAAATGGACAAAGAAGTAGATACCTGTGAAGAGACTTGCATTGTTACCTTTGTGGAAGAATGAATGGTTCTTTGAAGTGAGCTATGGTTAGTGTAGTGTGAGCAGAAATGGAAAAGAGCCAAAAAAAGACAAAGACCATAAAAATTATAAAATTAAGAACATACAAAGACAGGCAATAGACACATTTATTAAAGGGGGGAAAATGCCATCTGCTTTATATGATCAGGAAGGAAAGGACTTCACAAATCATTTGTCATGCAAAGAACTGTAATTCTCTTTCCAGCCTCATAGCTTCTTCTTTTTTCTGTCTCAGATTCTGCTGTGAGATCTTTATGTGTAGTCAGTTGATTGGGTACCAAAATAATCCCTCTGTCTTCGTTTATGACTCTTAACATTCAGAGACAGTCAACTCAGTAGGTCCTTGGCCAAATCACTGACAGGAGACTTAAGGAAGAAAATACTGTTACAGCTGAGAAAGTGAATGGATATGTTAAAGACAGTGAAGTGCAAGAAAAAGCAAAAATAGGTGAAGAGGAGAAAAAAAGACATTTAAAAAAAGATTCGAAATAGGGCAGAAATGGAGAAAAAAAAATAATATATTAGGAAGAATGAGATAAAAACAGCAAGGAAGGAACAAGGTCTAAAATAATATAATAATAATAATAATAATAATAATATAATAATAATAATAATAATAGTATCCCCAAACCAGGTAAGGAGAGAAGAAATACAAAGTTAAAATTGTCAATATCATCAGTAAAGTACCAGAGCATCTGGCAGAACAAAAGCAAAATGGTGTGAATTCATTTTGATTTATGACATGAGAAGTAAAGAAAAAAAGAGAGAACAAAACAAGAGAGACAGGCACCACAAGAATTTCTTCTTTATCATGTTTCCACATTGCATTTATTTTCAGGCATTCTGTATCTCAGATTTCTATCCCCCCCATTCCTCATTTCATTCTTCAATAAGCTATAGAGACAGCTCTTGCCAATTTTGTGACTCTCAGTAAAATCAAGTCTAGCCCTATAACAACCCTCTCTTTCACTTGAGTGAGTAGGTCTCAGAGTCCTCTGACTTTAGAAATTGATGCAGCTTATCTTACAGAAGTGGGGGTAGAATGAGGCAGAATTCATTGTAGTAACTGAAGATGTGAAGAATTGAAATTTTAGTCAGTCTAACAAAGTGCAGCATATATTGCAGACTTCATATTATCATTGTGTATTTAACAAGTGCTACATTTTCCCTCAAAGCATTCAGAAATGCAAAGTTGTGTTAGTTGATTGAGTAAAAAAATATGCAGGCTGTCCTATAAAAACAGGGAGCAGCAGGCCACAAGAATTTGTCAGACTACTTTTAAAGTGAGATCTTTGAAGTTATGTTTGTGCTGTGTGTTGGTGTACTAAATTTGCTAGCATGTTTTAAAGACTTAAAATTTCCACGAAAATTTGCTTTATGTCTGGGTCATGGTATGTACTACTAGCCAACAATCTTCTATTAAAAACTTGAGTGTTTTTCAGTAATAAACACACAAAAGGCATTTTAAATGAAAAACATCTATCCACATCCCACCTTTGTATCTCTAAGGGCCAAAAACCAATTTTCTTTACTTTTGTTCTGGGAAAAAAATCCTCCTCAGGCTAAGATCTTGTATGTCAAATCTCATCTCAGAGTGAATTATAAACTGCTGATAATAAGACTTGATATTAATGGAAGCATGGTTATAGCCCTCACTATAATATGCTATCTCTGGTTTCAATTATGCTTTGCACAATGCAATATATCTTTAGGAGTATCTGATGTAATTAATCAGATAGTGGTGTAATGCAGAATAGAATAAGGAGAAAAACAGGCATTTTTCGTTTTACAGACATGGAGAGGGATTTTATTAGTCTTTTAGTAGGAGCAGCCCTTTCCTGGTGCCAGCGGATTAGTGTGTGCTGGTGTATGGAAATTATTCTTCGAAATTCTATTTTTGTCCTCAGCAGAGTTTAAAGTTGTTCTGGAATTGCACAGAGAAGCTATACATGATTAGCACAAAGTAAAATTGATTTAAAATAAATTACTACCATAAATCTCTTTTCACAGAGTTTTATTTTGGCTCTGGCATGAAGGGTAGGGGTTTTTTTCTACATAAGATGGGTCTTATCAATTAAGATTAAAGAGCCATAGAAATCAGAGATGGAAAAAATTCTTGTCAGGTCATCTTTTCTATCAATGCCAGAACACTTTCTACAATATATTTCTCTAAAACATAGTCAAACTTCACTTTCAAGAATGGAGTGAAGGGCTTGCACTGTTTCCCATAGCAATTATTGCATAGTTACATAAAATTACTTTTCCCAATACCAGTTCTGGTTTTTCCCAGGTTTTTCCCAGGTTTTTCCCCATACCAATTTTGTTTATCAGTGTTTATATCCTTCTAAGGTTTCTGTACAAGTTTCTGTGTTTGCTTCTTCCAAAGTTACACAGATCTGCATCACTCTTTTATCCTTTCCTTCTAAAAGTACTTTTTGCTTCTACTCTCCTCTGAAATTTCCCCAGTTTACAGGCATGATTTGGCATCTTCCAGTGTAGAGCAGCAATGCAGAACTGTCACTGGGTTGACAATGAGGTCTATCACACTCTTGCCTGCTTAAATTGATCTCTTTTTAATAGCATTTGTAATTGTACATGGGTTGAAGCTGACCCGTAACCCTCATTTTTTTTTTCAGAATTATACCAGCTAACTCCCAGCTGCTGACTGATTGCTGACTGTTTTTTATACAGTCCCTTTATTACTTACCCTTGCAGTTCTCCAGCATTTGGGGCTCTTCAGCCTGGAGAATAGATGAATGAGGATGAAGAGGAAACTATTATTCATATTTCCTATAATATCCAAAAGAAGAGCATCAAAATAAATGTCAAAGGGATAAACAACATAATTTCCTTTGTCATGTTTTACATACTTAAATTGTGGAATTCACTACCCCAGTACATTTTAGATTTCAGAATATGCTCCTCTCAAGGATATTCTTAAACTACTGAAGACTTATGGAAAGTATTGTAGTAGAAATGTCATTGCCCTTCTCCATATCATTCCTGAAACACCATAACAGAACCTGGTCAAATACAAATACTAAATGAGACAAACCATAGATTATATCCTTTACAGTTTTTTGTTACTTCTATTCTTTTAACATTATACTCAAGAGAATCTCCAAATGACCCTTGGGAAAAGCCCACCAGCTTCCAGTGTAATTTTTATGTTGCTAAAATAATTCTCGGTTTTGCAGGTTCATAAAGGCAAGAACTTTTTGAAAAGAAACATATCGGTATGACCAGTTTAGAAGCTCCTTTGACACGAGGAAATCTCCCTCCTTACTCCACTCAGTTGCCTTTTGTCAGTTTAATGTGTAGAATGAGCTAGATGGTTGATTTCTGAAATCATTTAGGTATGTGTGGAAAACTCAATTTTCCTCAGCTAAAAGAGACATAACAAACTTCATATAAGAAGAAAAGAATGTATGCAGTTTCAATTAATGTAATTATTTTCATGGTTGTTATATATCATGCAGAAACTAGAACAATTGAGTAAAAATTCAACTTCCAGTTGAGACTGAAGGTGAACTCCTTCATCCTTGTAAGTTTTCCAATGACTACATGCTTCTGAATATGTTCCCTCTCTCAAAAAATAGCACTGCTGTCATTTCAGGACAATCATGTAGCAGCAGGAGGACCTGATCGTGTACCTAGTGGAGTCAGTGACAATATTGCAAATAACTTTCCATGGTTCAGGATCACATTCATAACCAGACTCCTTTGATTTTCAAAACTTGCAGAACTTTGCTGCTCCTGTGGCAATTACACAGATTTTATGTTTTAGGAGAATATGCTTGGGCAGCACTTGTGCTGTATTTCATTGAATGCAGCCACACAAAAAAAAAGTGAAGCACAAGCACAGAACAGATGTTCCTTACTATATAAGTTTAAAATAAAGTTTTCGTGATAGGTTCTTGTTGAGTCCTAGAAAAATTCTCACTGAGAAAAACCTGTGGTATATGACCTGTTTGGTCATAACTGGTGTCAACTAACAGCAAAATTGCAATACTCGCCTCTCTCTGACAGTAGCACAATGAACATTTTGCGGATATGTATTTTCACCATTTGTCTGGGTGCAAAACCTAATAATCCAGCTATGCCAGGAATATTTTCATTGCAGTCAAGCACACTTAGAACAGTATACTAATGTTTCAATTTTACAAATCACTGTACCTAGCAAACTGCACATTTTTTCATAAATTGGCTATATTTTTACTTAGGATTCAATGGAATCAGGTTTATTAGTGAACTCTAACTTAAAAATAGCTTTTTCAAACGTTTCTAAAGTTACTCCTGTAAACATCACCACGTTATCTGTTGTACACGTTTCTTATTTTGTAACCACTGAGTCTTTTCAGTGGTGGATGTGGTATAATTGTACCTTAAAAGTAGATCATTCCTCGCCACAAATGCATAGCTTCTCTTTAAATCAGGCCTTGATGATTAAAGACAGCTTCTCCAAAGCTTGTTTTGTTGGTTGTCTTAACTTGGACTGTTCTTTTAAGAGCCTCAGAGCCCTTTAGGCATCAGTGTCGACAGTGTTGCAGTAATATTCCTTATATTATTGTGGATTGGAGCATTAAAATTTTACTACAGAACCAGACAACATGTCACAAAGTGATATAATCAAGGGCTCGGAAACCAAACATATTCCACTTTTTACAGCTGGAAGACTTGTAAAATCATTCCTTTCAATTTCAGGAAAACAAAGCAGTTTACTAAAACCTGCAGGTTTGTTAAATCAAATAAAATAAAAAATGGAAACATTCTTCTTCTTGACTTAGCGACTTTGATTCTTCTTCACTGATGAAACTGAGTGCAGTGTGAAAAGGTTCCTTCACCATGACTTAAAGCCATCATATCCGATCATAAAAATTTGGGTTAAACTTCAGCAGCAAGCCTATTTTGGGAGTACTTTTTCTTCTTTAACCCGCCTTCCTGAAGATGAATGTATTTTTTTTTCATTCTCAAGTTTTTTGCATTCTTTTCAGCTCTCACAACCTAGCTTCTTCTTTCTACATCTCTTTAATCTATAGCAAGCCATTTAATTTCCAACTTTAAAAGAAAAAAAGATATTTTTATCCCTTCTTTATAATATTTCTGCTTCTTTTTAATATAATTTGACTTTATAATTGGTTTCTTTTTGAATCTAAAAATTCTGTGCTAAATTATTTGTAACATGTCTAAGCAATCATATTCTGTTGCATTTTATACAAGTGATTACTTCACTAGTAAATCATTCTTGCTTTATATCAGATGCTTTGAATCCAATTTGTCATAAGTTTAAAACAAAGTCATTGCTTTCTCCATTCAGATTGTCATTGCAAACAAACAAGCTGAAGCTATGGCTTCGGCTTGATTTTGCTGTCATTTATTCCATGAAAGTCAATGGAGTTGTACCAATGTAAGCCTGATATAGGAAAGAATCAAATTCTGTAAACTTATAAAAAGTCTAAATCATAGATATGTATAGGCACCTGTGTAAAAATGTATAAATATGATGATAATTTTCAAATACCTCAAAAAGTATAGAAATATTTTATACACCAACAGGTTCGATTGCATGCAAACAACATGCACATTGTGCATCCCAGTGAAATCCAGTCTGGTTTATTTCAGAGAAAATATGATGATACTAGTCTAATAAACTGTGCAAAGTCTCACATTAATCTTAAATTTCAAGATAAAATCTCTTATCTCCTTACAAAATACCTAATATATACCTGATAGGAAAACAAGAATGTTATTTAGACTCATTAATATGATTTGAATAGTCCCCTTGTTAATAAAACCTCTTTTTTCTTTTTTTTTACTGCTTAATAGAGAAGAAAATCACGTTATTCGGACCTTGACTTTGAAGTAAGTTTTACTGCATTATTCCTGAATATTAAAAGTATTTTCCTAAAAGTAAATGTGAAGTGTTCATTTTAGCAGATTTTAGCCTTCTGGCACAGTAGATGCGATTGCGTTGTTCAATTGGTACTGTACAGAACATGAACAATTCATTAAAACTACTTTGGTGCAACTTGTTTGCAAAATATTCTGAGATCAAACTGTCATATTGCAATATTAACCATCATGATTTCAGTTTTTAAATTCTTTGCCTCTTCATTTTCATCTGGGTTTAGTTTTTTTGAATTTTTTTTTCCTTTTTTTTTTCTGGCTATCTACTTCCTGAAAAAGTGTGACACTTTTATAGGACAGGCTAAATCACAGCAGAAGTTTGCTTTGTTCAAGAGATTTTCAATAATTTCTTTTTTCTTTCTTCAATACTACTTTACTGAAATACAACTTTCACATCCAACTAGTGATTATGAATGTGTCAAATTTTGAATGATATAGTGCTTCAGCTGTCAAAGCTTATGGATCACATGCTATATAAAAACTTTAGTTCATGTAAGGTTCTTTAAGTTGGATATGCATAATTACTCACTTACATCCTGCAGAGTGAGAAGGTTTAGTTGTGTTCATTAATGACCATTTTGTTCTATCTCAGTCAATATGGTTAAGTCTCTAACAGATTTGTTTGAAGTTTTTTTCTCTTATTTCCACCAGAAGGAATACAGCAGTTAGTTTTTAAGGGGCTGTTCATAATTTGGGGTTATAACATAGGTTGCCTTTTCATGCATAGAAGGAGTTTGATATAATTCATTGTCTCCAAAGAAGCGAACAATTATATTTGTATGGAACCTACAGATCGTGGGCTAAAACTTGAAAGCCTGTGATCAGCACATATCAACCATAACACCAAAACTCCCCTCTTTGCAATTACCCTAAATATGCTTTAGGACAAATGCATAGAAAGGAAGAAGAAAAACATGAAACAGTAATAAAATTTTGATGAGTAAGCAACTCTAAAATTAAATTCAATCAGAAGTTTAATAACTGTAGTGATAAAGAATTCTAAACTTTACTGGATTTGTTATTGAAAAGAAGAAATATGACAATAAGAGCATTCTCTGTGGCAACAGATACTAAAACATTCCTCCTGTCACTCAGGAACATAATCCAACACCAACAATGAAGTACACATTTCTGCTCTCAAGAAACAGGATTCCCATTACATATTTTCTCTTGACTCACATGGTTTCACAGAGTCACAGAATGGGTCATTTTGGAAGGGACCACAGTGGGTCATGTGGTCCCTGCTCAAGCAGGGTCATCCTAGAGCACATGGCACAGGATTATGTCCAGATGGCTCTTGAATAGCTCCAGCGAGGAAGACTCCACACCCTCTCTGGGCAGTCTGTGCCAGTGCAAGGTCACCTGCACTGCAAAGAAATATTCCCTCTTATTCAGGTAGACTTCCTGTGCATCAGTTTTTGCCCTTTACCTCTTGTCCTGTTGCTTGGCACTACCAAGAAGAGCCTGGAAACCTCATCAACACCACTTTTAAATACTGATAGACAGTGATAAGGTCCACTCTCAGTTGTCTGTTTTCAAGGCTGAACTGGCCCAATTCCCTCGATCTTTCCTCAAAAGATAGATGCTCCAATCCCTTAGTCATCTTTGCTGCCCTCCCCTGGACCTGATCCAGGAGCTCCTTGTCTGTCTCATCCTGAGGAGCCCAGAACTGGACACAGCACTCCAGGTGTGGCCTCACCAGGGCTGGGTAGAGGGCAGGATCACATCCCTGGACCTGCTGGCAATGTTCTTCACAATTCACTCCAGGACACCATTGGCCTTCTTGGCCACAAGGACACTGCTGGCTCATGGAGAGCTTGTCCACCAGGACCCCCAGGTCTTTCTCTGCAGAGCTGCTTTCCAGCAGGTCACCCCCAGCCTGTCCTGGAGCAGGATTATTCTTCCCCAGGTGCTGGAGAAAGAATAATTTGCCTGCATTTGCCTTTTTTGAGTTTCAGACAGTTCTCTGCCCATCTCTCCAACCTGTCCTGGTCCTTCTGAAGGGCTGCACAGCCCTCTGGGGTATCAGCTGCTCCTCCCAGCTTTGTGTTTTTGATTATTTACACCTTTTTCTTGTTGTTTGTAATATTGCTGTTCCATGGCCTAATATTTTTAGTATTACTATTAAAATGCAGGAAAATATATATTTTGTAAAAAGGAAAGGATGGGGCCACTGGGAGTGACTGGAACTGAGGAACTGAGAGCAGCAGAAATACTGTGCCAGTTGCTACTGTGTTTTACAAGTATTGATGCAGACTAACCCCATCTCACCTCCGGCTTTATGATTCTTCTGATTGTCTGTGGGCTTTTCTGAATCCTTACACACAGCATGGCTGTCTAGGGTAAAACAAAACAAAAAAGCCAAAAAAGTGTTGAGATAGTGTGGTATGGCCAAAATGCTGTTCTTTGGATACCCCAAAGCAGCTTGACTGCAAAATGGAATACAGTCTGGAGGTAAGATCAAGCCAAAGGGATTGAACACACTACTTAAATGTTTACCACTTTCTCTGCTTTGTCTGTGACCAGTGCCAGCTGGCACTGTCTGAGACAATGCCCTTCCGTATTCCTGAGGATACCAAATCACAGAATGATATGGATGTGGTTCTGAAGATAACAAATGTTAAGTGTGAAGTGTGGACAAGGATGGGACAAGTTTGGCTACCTCTGTCCTTTTCCTTTTAACACTCTCTCTGCAGTTTCTACACCCTCAACCTTTCACACATGTCTCTATATACATTCAAGAGAAATACTCAGGCTATGTCTATCTTAATAAATTAGACATTGAGGGGATATTCCTGGGTGCCAAAAATGCCAGCTTTTTTATGGATTAATTTTTAGAAAGACCTTCACTATTTTGGTCTGGACCACCATTGTCTCTCCAAGAAGTTCTTGAGTGCCATTAAAGATATAAGTTCAATCTGGGTACCATTCACAATAGACAGTTTGGTTTTAGACTTTTTATATGGGGAAACTAAGAGAATTTAATAGAATTTAGTATTTATGGAGAACATTCCATGTTAGATATTGCCAGAGAGTAGTCTTGGACATGCTTGACTTATTACTATATATTCATGGTTTCATATTTAAAAAAAAGATGACTATTCTAGTGGCTTCCAATGGAACATTCATCTTAATATAAATAATTTGAAAGAAAAACAACAAAAATACATTAAAAAAACATTAGAAAGGCCATTTTTCTCCAGGAGCCACAGAAGAAATGCCAAGCCAGCTGCTATGCAATGTGAACACAGCTAGACTAAGACTACATACAAAATACTCTCTGTCTCTGTTATCCTCAGTACATACAGAAATACAGATGTAGTTTTAAGGGCCTTTGCAATGGATTATAAATAATTGAAGTCCTGTGTCTGTGTGGGTTCTGTTATGGAAAACGTGTCTCAGTCAAAAGAAAGGGAGAGAGAAAATGTTGCCATCAAAACTGGCAAGCACTTAACATAGATCCCAAGCTGGTTAGAGAGGGAGGTCCCAAAACTGGGCACCTGTATCTTGTTTTCCTTTTTTAAATTGTTTACCATTACAATCTTAAATCATCCATTCATGTAGGGGGGAAAAAAAGAGTGTAACAAGCAGGGCTTAGTCTGTCAGCAGGAAGTATTTCTGCTACATGATATGTTGTCCTCGGTTAGATTTTGTAAAACACTGACTAATCTAGTTGAACTTCGAAGTTTGCTAAATGGTCAACACAAAACAACTTTACAGCTCTTTTCTTGCTATTAATAAAGATAAGTTTGGACTCATTCATGCAGTCTGGTGTCCAAAACATGAGTAAAATTATTGGTTTGGACATTTTGGATCGTTGCTGTCACAGGCTGTGCTAACCCCAACTAAGTGCCCTCCAACTCCTGTCATTTTTTTCTTTAGAGCTGGACAGGTAGCTTTTTCATTAAGTCTCAGCACTAACAGTTAGCTGTCAGATCAAATAAAATTCATTCTAATTATGTCGAACAGAAATACAGATGCTGTAGAAATTCCCTGGAGGGCTTTATAATAGGTGTATGCTGGCAATTACAAAAACGTACAGGAGAGCTAAACAGTACTATTGGCATGTGTTTTAGGATTCAAGATCACAATTACCTTTAAATTCTATGAAAGAGTCTGACTTTAGGATTCCCCAGTCACACCACTCTCTCATTTCTATCTGCCACTCATTGGATCTACTCTGTTAACAACATTTATGCCAAATATTTCAGAAAATGTCGTATTACCCTGATCCCCAGGATTCAAGTCATCTCTTGCACTGAGGGAGAGCAAGGATACACGGGACACGTGCGAATACTAGACTGTCTTCTTTCCACAGATCAGTAGACTGTCACCCACAATAGTGCTAAATTGATCAGTGATTGCTGGAGCTGCATTCTTTCAGAATTTCAACTGCCATAGTTATTTATTATAATACTATTATAACTCATAAAAGTTTAAAATCACTCTCTTACTAACCTGAAGACATCTTTTGAAGACAAAGGTAAAAAAAATATGCCTGCAGGGAAAAATTATTTCCTGTTTCCAAGTTTGGCAACTGATCACACCTATAATATCTTGAAAAAAGAACATTTCCATTAGAGGGCTGGGAAGGCATTTCCCCATGTGTTCTTTTAACTTAGCTGCTTTGTACAGGATTTGAGAGAGAACATTTTTAACTGTGACAATGTAGAAAATCTCCAAGGCAAATTAAATTACCTGGTGGTGGTGGTGATGATGATGATGGCGATGATGATGGTGATGATATTGTTATTTATGAGATTGACAAATAGTGGAATCACTGAATAGCCTTAGGTTGAAAGGGGCCTTAAAGATCATCTAGAGCCAAGTGCCAGCCACTGGCAGGAGCACCTTCCACTAGACCAGGCTGAGCCTCATCCAACCTGGCCTTTAGCACTTGCAGGAATGGGGCGTCCACTTCTCTGGCAACCTGTTCCAGTGTCTCACCACCTTCATCATAGAAGTCTTTTTTCTACATCTAATCTAAACCTACCCTCTTTCATCTTAAAGTCATCACCACTTGTCCTATCACTGTATGTTCTTGTAAAAAGTCCTTCTCCAGCTTTCTTGTAGGCCCCCCTTAGGTACTGCAAGGCTGCTGTAAGATTCCCCAAAGCCTTCTCATCTCCAGGCTGAACCACCCAAATTCTCTCAGTCTGAATTCATAGGAGAGGGCCTCCAGCCCACTGATCATATTTATCACCCTCCACTACACTCACTTCAACAGGACATGGACCTTACATTGGGAGCCCCAAAAGCTGAATACAGTACTGCAGGTGGGGTGTCATGAAATAGTCATGAGTACATTTGTCTTGAGTTAGAGTTCAGCTAAAACCCTATCATAAATAAAAAAGGGAGCTGGGCAGAGTTATGTTTGAAGTTCTCCCCATCTTGCTGACAGCCATCCACACAATTCTTTTCTGTGAGTAGGTGATAATCAGAGTAAGGCGTAGTCCCTTCCAAACACACACTCTATCTGACTTAAGAGTGGGGGTAGAATTGTGGAAGGGGTGTCAGTTCAGTTTGACCCCCTTTAGGGTGTGGAGCACAGAGTTATGAAGCCTTCAGGAGACAGCACAGGAGGATGTGTGTCTGCAGCCTGGTGGCTGACTCTGCTGCTTCTGGCAGGCATGCAGCATCCATGGGCAGCTGCACAGCTGCACCTAAAGAAAAAAGGGCAATACAAGTTCAGTTTCCATCCTTTTCAGATCCTGATGTTACCACAGTCATCCTAGTATTAGTGGTCAAGATCTCCAGCTTTGTATTGTTAAGTATTTTTAAGATTAATAAAGGGGTGTTGTCCACATTGCCTGTTTAACAGAAAAGACAGAATAACACCCTAAAAATACTTTGTAGGTTCTTTTCTCATGAAAGAGTGTTACCCAACTGAGCATATTTTCTAGAAAGGAGATAAAATGGTGCTTTCTAACCAGAAATTTAAAAGTCTAGAAACTGAGAGTTAAAGTTGGAAATTTAAGTTGCTGCACCTTCAGTTCAGATTGTTCTTTATAAGCAATAGGGAGGGAGTGGGTGTCAGTGGGTAGGAATTATGGAATGGAAGCCAGGAAAACACAAAGTAACCAAAAGATCCATGGGTACATGTTCATACCAGTCATGCTGCTATTAAGAATAAAATGTAAAGATTTTTTTTTCTGGCAGACTTCCCGGTGCAAGTATTTTATTTCTCCTCCCACCTGCCTCTCCTCAGGAATAATGTAATGAACTGAGTAAGACATTTGCATTATTCATATTTGCTATTTAATGACATCTTGGGTACACGATTAAGGAAAATATATCAGAAAGTAGCATTCTCTATATTCCCAGCTTTCTACTAAAAAGTTTCCAAATGGAGATACTTGTTTCACAGCCTTATGTTATTTCCTGCTTTTTAGAGCTAGTTTTTTAACCCACCAAAACTGTTTTATTCCCATGACGATGTGTCCTTATTTAAACCAATAATAATCTTTGAGGTAGAACCTTTTTTTTAAAATTTTATGTATATGAATACTGCTATATACTCCTGTCTACCATAGCAGCAATATCTTGAAATAATCCCCAGGAAGTCACTTAAGTGAAACTCCCTTCATAAATTTAGATAGCTATATCTAGTTAAATTACCTTTTCCAAGGAGTTTATTACCAAATATTGTAAAAGGTTTTCCCTTATTCACCCTACAACTCAAGTTAATAGATCTTTAATTGCTGATGTCTCATGTCTCTTTGTGAGACATATTGCCAAACTCCTTTTTTCAGAAGTGAACAAATTCTCAAGCTACTGTGTGCCTGTGTTGAGGTTAATACAGGTATTACAGCATAGCAGAAGAAATGCCTGGCCAAAAGAGCAGCTACATTTCATGAAATCTCTAAAGACATATTGCAAATGAAAGATAAAGTTGGCATTTATAAAGGAATATTGAGAATCAGCTATTGCCATTCCATTTTAAAAGGTACTAACCTAGACTTGGCAGGGGTGTTATTTGATGAAAGGGTCACACTCAGGCACCTCACACCTAAGTTTGCAGGGTTTCACTCAGAGCTCCAGGGAAAATCAGGCTTGACACAAAATCAGGACTTTCACAAAGGCCTGTGTCCTGCACCTCGTCTGTCAGCATTCCTGGCTGCTGCCCTGGGTGTAATTCAAGTTCAAGCAGTTACAAAGCTTAAGAAAAGAAAATCCGAGCCCATCTACTGTTGGACTGAGGTGAAGCATCCTCACACCCTCCCATCCCCAGACTATCCAGACCATAAAACCGTGAGAGTAGTCAAACAGTAAGCAGCCTTCAGCTTGGCTCCAGAGGCTGCTCTGAATCCATAACTGAGCATGAATTCCTTTGAAAACAGCTCTAATGGGCATAGTTTGCAATCTAGGCTTGAAAACAGGCTTAACTCTCCAGGTAGCTGCCCAGGCAGATACATGGCTGAGGCCCATGCACTGGGGTGTGAGAATTATGGGGGCTTTTTGGGGTCTCCTCCTCTTCCACAGGAGTTCCATATTTAGTTATAATTAGTTATAATTAGAGTGCCCTCAGTATGGCTAAAGGGAGAGTGGTTTCCGATTTCTTTGTCCATGAAAAAAGAAAGCAAGTAAAATTGAAAAAAAATGTGCCTACTTTTCTTAATATGAAAGCAATTTCAGTTACATTTTATGATGATTTGAATGACAAGAAGATGTCTAATTAAAAAGACATAACATTTGGATATTTTCCATTTTGAGCCAAGATTTCTGAGTTCAGCATTCTCATAAAGATTATTCCAACAGGGACCATTAAAAAGTGTTGTTTCTTTCGTATAGAAATTAAAATATAAGCACCCATGCTGAAAACAGAAATTCTAGAAAATATTCCTGATATGCAAGAGAAACATTCTTCTGAGAAATTGCCATTACTTTCAGGATACTTCCAACCTAGCATAAAAACAGTGGCCCCTAATTCTAACAAGTCTATAAACATAGGGTTAAAACCATCTCTTATACACAGGAGGAACATTAAACACAGCAGAGAGAAGGGCCAGGGCAATTCACTTCCATTGGTCAAATCTATAGGGAAAAGATCGCCCTGCCAAATTCAATTTACTTTATTATGTCGGAAAAAGTAATACTTCTCTTTAAAAAGAAAAATATTCAATTATAAATATAAGCAAGTATATTCCATTTTGCAGAAGGTCATGCATACAAGAAAGAGGCATATGGAATTATTTCAAGAGTTAAATCAGAAATTTCAGACTCTGGACAGATTTCGGGATGTACCAAAATCAGGCAGTATGGTAAGTGTCCTTCTATTATATTTAAAATATGGTGGATCCTAAACAACAACAATGAAACGAGAGCCTTTTGACTTCAGTACATTTCCCAAGAAGACCTCACCTTTAGGTACCTCAGAAATGAGAACCAAAGCTATTTTCAGTAATCCAACCTATAATGAGACTCATTACATTCTACAATTAGACCACAACTAACTCACTAACATCGTTATAGATGACAAGTAATTGAACTGGAGGGAATACATTTCAAATCTGTATATGCCTACTGTGTCTAAAGGCCTTTATACAGAGAAAGCAGCTCACTGATATAATTTCACCAATAAGGCTTTTCCTCTACCTAGGCAAGGAGATAATAAATTCGATACTACAAACAAGTCCAGATAGATTTACCTATACATGCAAATGTCCAGAAAGCAAACAAGATCTCTGTAATGCCATGTCTTTTCCATAATAGGTTTATAAATATTTACCATGGGAAAAGCAAAAATTAAATCATCCTGAGTTGAGGCTGCTATCATCATAATTCAAATTTATACACACACACACTTATACACACATGCATAGCACCCTGACTACATCTGATAATGAGAGCAAGGAAATAGTTGATTCTGCCTAATTAAAACAGCTAATTTAGTCTGACATATTTTTATCAGTAATATTTTGATTGGTAATAATTTTTATATAATTTTATAATGTGAAAATTGTATATTAAATGGAACTGAGCTAGAATTATTGTATTCCATAACTTTTTCAGAAGAGCTGCTCTCAGACATGAAGAAGAGGTATTAAACAGATGTGAGGCCAATGGATTTACATCATTTACATCATCTTAATCCAGCAGAAATTTAGCCCTGATTCTTTGATGAACCTTTATCTGTGATATGTGTTATTTTGTATCAAGTTCTCACTCACTCCTGCTTTTGAGATCAGCTGACATGTAATGTTTTCATTTGTCTCCCTACTTGAGATTTGCTGTTCACATAAAGCTTGAATTAATTCAAAATCTCAAAGGGAATCTCAGTGGAAGAGTTGTGTTTACTCTGTTTCACATTGGTTCTGTGCTTTTGAAAGGTCTGCTAATAAAAGCTGCCTAGAGGAATGGTCTGTTTGTGAGACAGCCAGAGAGTGATCCAGGTACCTAAATATAGGCATCTCAGGCTATTTTAGAAAGAGGGCTTGGTTTACAGCACAGTACAGGCAGCAGTGATACAGGACTCAAATGAGATCTGCATCTCTCGTGAAAGATAGGTGGAGATCAAGCAGAAAGTCCAAAGGTATCTTAGATGGTGCCAAAATATTGGATTTTAGCAACTACAACCCACCCAACATATTACAGCAGAAATCTCTAATTAAATTGGTCCATAAAGTCTTTTACCGTATAAAACCTAGCATTAAAGAAATAAAACATCATTCAGTAGAAAATAACCACCTTTCAGTCTGTTAATCCTAATATACGTGAGCTCATCAGCCTGTAAGGCAAGGTGGTTCTCACAGCATTCTCAAGGTTTCTGTCATCCTGCCATGCACATTATGCCACATGCACCTGCCACCTGCAGCAGTCTCTGTTTCAAACCACTCCATATTTCAGGAGTGAGCAAACTCTTCTCAGTTACCTTCCTTTCTCATCTCCTTCTTTTCGACACTCTTCTCCCACTTTTCTCCCACTCTTAGAAAGATGTCTGTTGGTACTGGATCTCTCAGCCCATTCCTCACACGTGGGTTCTTGTGAAAGAAAGGGCTTAGCTGGCAGCTCAGGTGAGGAGCCTGCCCAAGTGTTGATTGTTGACAGAGTCACAGCGGTGCCGAGCACCCGCCAGCCCAGCTCCCTGCAAAGCCATTTCCCCTCTCCAGCTTCTGTGTCTCATGAGAGCACGTCAGCAATCAGCCTTATAAATGGAAACTGCATTATTTCATCCATGATTTTAATTCTTCTTTCTTTGGTCTTCAGGAGAACTCAGGACCGAGCAAGGCTCCATGGGACAGTTTCAAAACCACAGGTGACTACCAACACTATACAACGATAAATGTATTAGACACAGAGGCAAAAGATGCTTTAGAACTCAGACCAGCAGAATGGGAGAAGTGTCTGAACTTGCCTTTAGACGTGCAAGAAGGTGACTTTCAAACAGAAGTTTAACGAAAAGGAACTGAACAAAACAGAAACAAAGTAAAAATAATTAATTGCACTGACAATAAAAAGACTTTGGGAATCCTGACGATCCTGACGCTCCTGTCTGAACATTGCAACTCCTTTATGTCAGGCTCTTCCTGTGCCAAATGTCAGTGGTTTTTTCGTACAGTATATTCCCACTAGTGCAGCTAGTGGAGAACCAGGTGTACAATTCTTACCATCGTGTGTTGTAAGTACCCGTGGAATGGATTTGTAAGGTAATCTTTATAGATAAACCTCAAGCAACGATTCATGTTGTAACAGCTTCATTTGGTTTAGTTTTCAAAAAACTTCACCATGAAGCACAATGTATATATTTATGCAGTTTTTAAAGTTTATAACAGTCTGTTTGGCCATTACTACACTTTTTACTTTATAATATAAAAGCAAAGTTTTTGTCATTAAATGAATGTCTGTTGAGCTACATTCTTCATTGCTTTAAATGCAATAAAGTAATAATCTCACTTTTATATGAATAATATATTTCACATCTTTATTATTGCAGTTTTCTCTGGAAAGCTCAGAACAGCTTTCTCTGCTGCAGCTGTGTATAAAATATTTAAAATGTTGTATGGTGTAAATAAACCTTTGTCTACATATCAGTTTCCTAGTGCATTTTATTCCATATTGTTTCTCTTAAATTTGAATATTTATAAAATTTTCTATAAAACAAAAATATTGAATATGTATTTGCAGTTTTAATAGCATGTTGTATGTAGCTTCTGCAAAAAGTTTCTAAATCATATTAGTAGGCTTGTAGCCATTCTGCATTTTCTTAGGGGTTTTTTTTCCAACAATGTACCACAAAATCGGACTTCTCAGAATACTATTACAATTTTTCTTTTTTATAAGAATTTTTGTCTAGTTGTAGAAAGACCAATAATGGTAAATAAGTTTCAATGCACAGCACCCAAAGAAAATGCTTACTTAGAATCATTATATCTTGTGCATGATCTTCTTGCCGTATAAAAAAAAAAATCTCAAGATAAAAAAGTTCCTAAGTATTTCAGATTTTGAAAAAAAAACAAAACAATGAGTCAAACCCAAAAATCCTGAATCAGTTTCATCGTAAATCACAAGCAAAGTATGATTATTTTTTGTATTGAAAATACAGTTAAACGATTAGGAATAGGAAGACTTAATCTCCTTTTCCATGCACAGAATCAAAACCAGATCTTCAAAATTCTCATCTACAGCATAGCTGTGGGGGATATAGATGGAATAATATCTCAAATCTTTAGATGTCATAGTTCTAGAAAAAAGTTTCAAAAACTATTTTGGTTCCTGCTGTTCAAAAGTGAATATACGGCAGCCTACTAACTGGAGAGATCTTAGAGAGGAAGAAAACATGACCACCAATCTGCTTAGGAAGAAAAAAGATAAGAATAGAGGCTTGTCAGTGAGAACTTAACCCAGAGAATTGGAAGAGGAAGAGCAGCATCCATCTGTTAAGAGAAGTACTTAGGATCAACCTTAGGACCAATCTTCAGAAAGTGTTTGACAATCTTTTCTGCAGGCCATAAGGTATTTAAGTCACAAAAAAGAGGCTGACTTTGCCAGCTTTGAATGAGTATCTCATGCTGAGTGAAGACTTCTCTAATCTAATGCCTCAGGATCTAAATCTTAAAACAAGTAAGAAATAACTAGCCATCAGCCTGGTACCAGGTCCAGTAACTGGCTTTGGTGCCTAGAGGTTAGATAATGCAGTACTATCACCCTCAGTAAGTTTGCAGACAACACAATTGGGCAGGAGTGTTGAGCTGCTGGAGGGCAGGAAAGGTCTGCAGAGGGATCTGGACAGGCTGGATCAATGGGCAGAGGCCAATGGTGTGAGGTTTAACAAGGCCAAGTACCAAGTCCTGAACTTGGATCACAACAACTCCCTGCAGTGCTACAGGCTGGGGGCAGAGTGGGTGGAAAACTCCCCAGCAGAAAGGGACTTGAGGCTGCTGGTGACAGAGGCTGAACATGAGCCAGTATGTGCCCAGGTGGCCAAGAAGGCCAATGGCATCCTGGCCTGTGTCAGCAACAGTGTGGCCAGCAGGAGCAGGGCAGTGACTGTCCCTCTGTACTCAGCACTGCTGAGGCTGCACCCTCAGTGCTGTGTCTGGGGGGCCACCCAGTTGAGGAAGGATGTTGAGGTGCTGGAGTGTGTCCAGAGAGGGGCAACAAGACTGGTGAAGGGTCTAGAGAGTAAGTCCTGTGAGGAGCAGCTGAGGGAGCTGGGGTTGTTTAGCCAGGAGAAAAGGAGGCTCAAGGGAGACCTTATCCCTCTCTACAGCTCCCTGAAAAGAGGCTGTAGCCAGGTGGGAGTCAGTCTCTTCTCCCAGGCAACCAGCGACAGGATGAAGAAATGGCCTCCCTGGCATCAGGGGAGGTTTAGGTTGAACATCAAGAAGAATTTCTTCACAGAAAGGGTGGTTAAGCATTGGACTGCCCATGGATGTAGTGGAGTCTCCATCTCTGGTGTGTTCAATGAATAACTGTGTCACTTAGTGCTGTGTTTAGTTGACAAGGTGGTGTTCAGTCAAGGTTGGACTTGGATGGTCTTGGAGGTCTTTTCCAACCCTAATGTTTCTATCAGTCTATACTGTGATACATCAGTCAAAAAGAACTGGCTGTTTTTCAAGAGGCTGTTATAGAAGGAGGCAGATGGCAAGGCTGGCTATGCAGCCTCCTAACTTTTCAGATCAGATAGTGCACCAAAAACTTCTCACTACATACAACAGAAACTGCACATTTTTTAAGGATTTCATTCCATATGGTAACAAGTCTCAGAGCATGTTTTACAAAATTTCTAATTTTTGAGCCCAAATGAGGAAGCTTAGACCCCTGAATCCAGATATAAGCCTTAGCATCCTTCTTGACGGATCTAAACATAATACATATTTAAAGGCCTTGATATTTCAATAACTGTAATGCAGAAATTATTTGTATAAGCTTTATATCACCTAACTCCTGTTCAATGGTGGTCTAGTTACAACTGTAGAAAGCTTAGAGTAGGCTCTAAACTTCCTGCAAACCCAGGAAACAAGATAAATCAGTTTACACTCAATACACTGCTGACCCAGTTCTGCTGTTATTAATAACCCAGTGGATTCAGGTTTAACATTAGCCTGGGTGTTTATGTATCACACGGCACTCACAGATGTGCTTTCAGTGTATGAGCAGCAACATTCAGTGCCTCTTTAATTAGAGTTTATGCTGCTCTGAGCAGAAAATGCTAGGCATTTTTATTTTCTTACATATTTCTTATTCAGAAATGAAAAGCATGCTGAAACCTAGTATATTTGCCTACCGATTTGACTGATTCCTATTAAAACAGAGTTTGTTTCCCATAAGTAAGATGCCACTCGTACTTGCAGTTTCTGCTCAATGTCTCTGAAATGATGCATGTCAGACTGAGCCCAGCAGGAGACTACCAACTTTTATGCACTGGCTTAAATGTTGATAAAGCACTGAGCAGATGTTTGGGATTATATTATATGGAAATAAAAATTAAGTCAGGACTCCCTAAATCATACTAGATACAGGCATGACAGGGGGCCCTGCATCTGCCTGCCAGCTAGTGCCACTCTGCGTGGTCTGGCTACCTCAGCTGGGGTCCAGCTGCAGCTACAGAAAGGTTCAGGTGTTTGAGGGCTCAGCCAATGTTGCTGTCACTAGCACTGGAGGAGACTGAGGCAGCTGAGCTCAGCCCAGAGTTTACCCAGAAGCAACTCAAAATATATATTCCCTATATGTATATACAAGAGGCAAAAATCTTTTTTATTACAGGCTTCATTTTCTCAACAGTTTAAATACACATTAGCAGTTGTATAAAACCCTATGCAGTTCCTCTGTCTCCTTCTTACATGCATATTCAGGGAAGGTGTTTTTCTGGAAAGTTAATGTTAAACAAAATATGGCCTGGACATTTCAGTGTAGGGGAACGGTGCATACAGGAAATCCAGCTGAGCAGCCAGAGATCACTCAGACAATAGTTCAAAATGTCCAGGATTTCAGATCCAAGGCTGGATAAAGGGGTTTTGTGTTGCTACCACAATTATTTGCTACATAGGCCTTTGCCAAAGTGATGTTACTGAACCTAGAAACTTGGAGGTAAACAATGAATTAGTCATTATTAAACTTCAGCTCATAATCTAGAATACCTTTTGGAAATAAGGAGGGAGGAGAGTGTAAGTGATGCTACAAGGGATGAGAGGTAGGAAAGCAGTGCTGCCACTCTGATGCACCTTTGGAGTACCAGTGATTTAATGTTGGCATATATGTAATGCTAATGGCTCTGTGATGAAGACTTAGGACAAAAGAAACAAAGAGCTAGAGGCCTTTCCATTTAATTGACTACTGAGTCTGAATTTCTTCTCAATCAATGTGTCAGTGCTCTTGGAAGTGTTGTCCTGACACTCCTCCTTTGAGATTGCCATGTGTTTCCATTATGATAAGATATAAATCATCTAATATTGTTTTACACTGGATTAAATTGGGATAATCTCTTTTAAAAACAAACAAGACCAAACAATGAAACAAAAAACATCCAAGCCCCAAACTGCATCAGGAGAAATGTTCTCTCATGCTTTGGCTTGTCTCTGCTTCCCAGAGTTGCCAGACCAGGTTTAATAAAAGGCCTGCTTCTCTCTTGGAAGCAGGCATCCATCACAGCATGAGGAGTAGGTTTTCCATTGGGTTATACAAGGGGATATGGAAATCTCTGCTGGCAATCAGCAGATGGAGACATGTACTGATAGCAGACTCAGTTCCTCAGGCATTAGCTCGAGGCTGTGCTGCATCTCTGGATAAGGCACCAGAAGCAGTTTATATGAGCAAACTTTATTTCTCTCTTTCAAAAAATGTCATAGGGCTCACTTGTGCAATCAAACCCCTTCTCATGTGCTGAGGGAGGAATCCACAGAGGTGGATTCCAGCAGAATATGTGCTTGGGGAGCTGTGATTTGTTTCCAGCTAGGTTTCAAACAGTGCAATGCTCTAATCTTTTCTACTTACTTTTTAAGAAACATCTTTCTGTGCAAGGAAAGCAGAAGTGGCCTCACTAAGAGAAATTCAATTACTGATTAGATAGGTATGACTACCAACCCTAGCACTCCCACTGAAATGTTCTGTCCATTAATTACAATTGTAAGATAAAGTAAGAGCCATTTATCTGGTTTTGACAAAATTGCCTTTTAAGCTGCAGTGGACCATCCTGTAGCACTGAGTTATTCCAATTAACTATGCTACAGTACTGACCCTCTTGTTTGTTCTTCACTGGTGTCATTTTATACCTCATTACTTCTTATGAGGAACAGTTGATAACTTTAACCAGTTCAACATCCTCCCTCGACTATACAAGTTACTGCTATTGGCCCCCAAAAGTTACCTCTTTTTTCAGGATTACAAACCTATGCTCAGTTAGTTCCCATACAGAAGTCCTTCCCTAATTTCAACTCTCCCTGTGTCCCTTGCAGCTTTTTCAAGTCTGCTGAAGGTCTTACATGAGTTCAGAAAATCCATAACACATTACAGTATTCTGTTTGTTTCATGTAGAAAAAGGAAAAACTCGACGAGGAAGCTTCTAAAATTCCTTTTTATTCAGTAGG